GCCTTGGCCTGGCCCAGACCTGTCCATTGTGGCCGACTGGGGAATGAACCAGTGAATAGATGATCTCTCTCTGTGTCTCTTCCTTTCTCTTTGTAACTCTGACTTTCAAATAAATAAATGAATGATTCTTTAAAAAAGAAAAGATAGTAAGACTGATGATTCATGCAAATAAATATTTACCACTATTTAGTATTTAAATTTTTTTTTTTTTTTTTGACAGGCAGAGTGGACAGTGAGAGAGAGACAGAGAGAAAGGTCTTCCTTTGCCGTTGGTTCACCCTCCAATGGCTGCCGCGGCCGGCGCGCTGTGGCTGGCACACCGCGCTGATCCGATGGCAGGAGCCAGGTACTTACCCTGGTCTCCCATGGGGTGCAGGGCCCAAGGACTTGGGCCATCCTCCACTGCATTCCCTGGCCACAGCAGAGAGCTGGCCTGGAAGAGGGGCAACCGGGACAGAATCCGGCGCCCCGACCAGGACTAGAACCCGGTGTGCCGGCGCCGCAAGGCGGAGGATTAGCCTAGTGAGCCGCAGCGCCGGCCTTTTAAAATTTTTAAAAAATATATTTATTTTATTTTATTTGAAAGGCAGAGTTACAGATGGAGAGGGAGAGAGATCTTCCATCCACTCATTCATTCCCCAGGTGGCCACAACAGCCAGAGCAGGGCATATCGAAAGCCAGGAGCTTCTTCTAGATCTCCCACGTAGGTGGCAGGGGCTGCAGGCGCTACAGGCTGGGGCTTTAAAAACACTGTGCCACAGTGCCAACCCCTAAGTATTTAGATTGTATTTTATTTTTTAAAAAATATCTATTATTTATTTGAAAGTCAGAGTTACACAAAAGTAGAAAGAAGGAGGGAGGGAGGGAGGGAGGGAGAGAGAGATCAAGAGAGAGAGATCGAGATCCTCCATTCATTCCCCACTTGGCCGCAACGGGTGGAGCTGGGCTGATCTGAAGCCAGGAGCCAGGAGCTTCCTCCGGGTCTCCCACGCCGATGCAGGGTCCCAAGGACTTGGGCCATCTTCTACTGCTTTCCCAGGCCATAGCAGAGAGCTGGATTGGAAGTGGAGCAGCCGGGACTCGAACCAGTGCCTATATAAAAAAAATTTATAATGTATGCTCTTATCAGCTTGGGATGTCCTGGGCAAGTGGGCAGCTGTAAGAGTCAGAACACAGAATCTTGGGCCATTAAATTCCTTTGTTTTGTGTGAAAGTAACTACTTGTGTCCCAGCAGCCTAGCAAATTCTGGCATTCATCCAAAAGAGAAAATCTCAACCCATTAAATAGTAACTCCCCATTTCCTCTCACTCCCCAGGTCCTGGTAACCTGCCTTCTGGTTTCTCTGTGGATTTGCCTATTGTAGATACTTAATATGGAGACAAACTGTATTTGCCTTTCTGTGTCTGCCTTTTCAGGATTCAGTAATGTTGTAGCATGTGTCAGAACTTCATTTTAAAAAGTTTATTTAGGCCAGCTCCATGGCTCACTTGGCTAGTCCTCCACCTGCTGTGCCGGCACACCAGGTTCTAGTCCTGGTCGGGGCGCCAGATTCTGTCCCGGTTGCTCTTCTTCCAGTCCAGCTCTCTGCTGTGGCCTGGGAGTGCAGTGGAGGATGGCCCAAGTGCTTGGGCCCTGCACCTGCCTGGGAGACCAGGAGGAAGCACCTGGCTCCTGGCTTCGGATCGGCGCAGTGCGCCAGCTTTAGGAGCCATTTGGGGGGTGAGCCAATGGAAGGAAGACCTTTCTCTTTGTCTCTCTCTCTCTCATTATCTAACTCTGCCTGTCAAAAATAAATAAATTAATAAATAAAATAAACCCCTTTATTTATTTGAACGGCAGAGTGACAGAGGGGGAGACAAAAAAGAGAAAGAGATCTTCTATCTGCTGGTTTACTCCCCAAATGGCTGCATTGATGGGCTGGGCCAGGCCAAAGCCACGAGCCTGGTACTTCGGCTGTCATCCCCTGCTTTCCCAGATGCATTGGTTGGGAGCTGCTTCAGAAATGGAGCAGCTGGGACCCTAACCAGTGCTCCAAGATGGGATGCTGGCATTGCAGGCGGCAACTTAACCCACTGTGCCACAATACCAGCCCCAGAATTTCATTTTTTAATGCTGAATAATATGCCATTGTATGTGAGTGTGTGTGTGTATATATCTATGTATATAATACACAAAACATTTTCTTTATCATTTTATCTGTTGATAGACATTTAGATGGTTTTCTGCATTTTTTTTTTTTAAGATTTTGTTTGTTTGAGAGGCAGAGACACAGTCAGAGAGAGGCACAGTCAGAGAGGGAGAGACAGACAGAAGCATCTTCCATCCTCTAGTTTAATACCTACATGGCTGCAATGGTCAGAGCTGGGCCAAATTAAAGCCAGAAGCCAGGAGCTTCTTCCGGGTCTCCCACGCTGGTGCAGGAGCCCAAGCACTTGGTCCATCTTCCGCTGCATTCCCAGGCCGTTAGCAGGGAGCTGGACTGGAAGTAGAGTACCTGGTACTTGAACCAGCGCCTGTATGGGATGCCAGTGCTGCAGGCAGAGGCTTAGCCTATTGCGCCACAGCGCTGGCCGCTTTGCATTTTTTAGTGCTAATAATTCTGAAGAAATTTAAAGCTTTTAGAAATGGGGAATTTTGTAGATGTATGCTATTTCAAGACTGCATATAACATTTTCTTGTACAGGTTATTTACTCTGTATATTTGGCTCCCTGTAATTTCATAGATACGTGCTTTGTGCTTCATGAATCTTTCACTTACCTTACATTTCAGTTTTTGTTTTTTTTTTTTTGACAGGCAGAGTGGACAGTGAGAGAGAGAGACAGAGAGAGAAAGGTCTTCCTTTGCCGTTGGTTCACCCTCCAATGGCCGCCGCTGCAGCCGGCGCACCGTGCTGATCCGATGGCAGGAGCCAGGATCCAGGTGCTTCTCCTGGTCTCCCATGGGGTGCAGGGCCCAAGCACCTGGGCCATCCTCCACTGCACTCCCTGGCCATAGCAGAGAGCTGGCCTGGAAGAGGGGCAACCGGGACAGAATCCGGCGCCCCAACCGGGACTAGAACCCGGTGTGCCGGCACCGCAAGGTGGAGGATTAGCCTATTGAGCCACGGCGCCGGCACATTTCAGTTTTTGTATAAACAGAATTGTAGTTAGATGGTAATTTAATTGTTACCTAATTCAGCCTACAATCCGTGTGAAACTCCTCTGAGTGTCTTTTTTTTTTACCCCGATATTCTCTCTAAAATTTATTTTCATCTGTTTAAAAGAGAGAGAGGTAGAGAGAGAGAGGGAGAGAGAGAGATACAGATAGAGGTATCTTCTATCCACTGGGTCACTCCTCAAATGCTTGCAACAGCCAGGGCTGGCCAGGTCGAAGCCAGCATCCAGGAACTTAGGTCAGGCCTCCTAGCAGGGACCCAAGTACTGAGCCTTGCCTGTGCCTTTCAGGATCCATGTTATCTTGTCAGGAAGCTGGAATCGGGAGTGGAGCTAGGACTCAAACCCAGGTACTCCAGCACTGGGTATGGGCATCCCAAGAGACATTTTAACTGTAGGCCATGTGCACACCCCCATGTTTAATTTTTTTTTTATAGACAGAGGGAGAGGTCTTCCATCTACTAGTTCACTCCCAGGTAGCTCTAACAGCTAGAGCTTGGCCTGTCTGAAGCAAGGAACCAGGAGCTTCTTTCGGGTCTCCCACGTGGGTGCAGGGACCCGAGCACTTGGTCCATCCTCCACTGCTTTCCCAGGCCATTAGCAGGGAGCTGGGCCGGAAGCAGAGCATCTGGGACTTGCGCTGGCGCCCATATGGGATGCTGGTGCCACAGGCAGAGGTTTAGCCTACTATACCACAGCACCAGCACCCCCCACCATGTTTAGTTTTTTGAGAAACAGTGTTAGCTGTTAGCTGCTACACCTTAACTGCTGTGCCAAATGCTGGTCCCCAAAAATTACTTGGCAAATTCTGATTGAGGAGCCGGCGCCGTGGCTCAATAGGCTAATCCTCCACCTTGCGGCGCCGGCACACCGGGTTCTAGTCCCGGTTGGGGCGCCGGATTCTGTCCCGGTTGCCCCTCTTCCAGGCCAGCTCTCTGCTATGGCCAGGGAGTGCAGTGGAGGATGGCCCAGGTGCTTGGGCCCTGCACCCCATGGGAGACCAGGAAAAGCACCTGGCTCCTGGCTCCTGACAGGATCAGCGCGGTGCGCCGGCTGCAGCGGCGGCCATTGGAGGGTGAACCAACGGCAAAAGGAAGACCTTTCTCTCTGCGTCTCTCTCTCTCACTATCCACTCTGCCTGTAAAAAAAAAAAAAAAAAAAAAAAATTCTGATTGAGGAATTAACTTTTAAATAATCTAGGTTATATGGTAAAACCATAATTAACTAATCTTGTGTGATCTTTTCTTCCGCATCCCATTGTATCTCATGACAAGCAAACAAGCTGAATAGCGGCAGTTTAATGAAGAAATTAAAAGGCAGCTTCTAGTGTGTCCTTGAGTCAGTTCTGTTCAGCTCCTGTCTCCTGCTTAATTTCATTCCTGTAGTGATGATGTTCCACTGACACTGGACTTGTCCCCCGCTGCTGTCCTCACCTCCTCCTCTGGTCTTGCTGTCGGGAGGAGCTGGCCCTCGCCTCTCCTGTCCTCCCCAGCTCCTGAGCTGCAGCATCTGACTGGGTCTGCAGTGGGAGGAACTGGCAGGAGGTGAAAGGGCGAGAGGAAGACGCCAGCCTGCGCCTCGCACCCAGGCCCGCCCTTTCTTCCGGGGGCTGGAGGAGCTTGTCTTCTGCTGCCAGCTTCCTCCGGGAGCTCCAGGCCTGCTTCTTCCGCGTTCCTCCATGCCAGGGTCAGTGCCTGTGCTGACCTCTGCCTTCCCCAGCAGGTTCTCGCTTCTTCTTCTTCTTCTTTTTTTTTTTTTTTTTTTTAAGATTTATTTATTTACTTGGAAGTCAGAGTTACACAGAGAAGGGGAGGCAGAGCGAGAGGTCTTCCATCTGCTGGTTCACTGCCCAGTTAGCTGTAATGGCTGGAGCTGCGCTGATCCAAAGCCAGGAGCCAGGAGCTTCTTCTGGGTCTCCCACCTGGGTGCAGGGGCCCAAAGCCTTGAGCCATCTTCCGCTGCATTCCCAGGCCATAGCAGGGAGCTGGCCTGGAAGTGGAGTACCTGGTACTTGAACTGGCGCCCATACGGGGTGACAGCGCTGCAGGCAGCAACTTTTACCTGCTGTGCCACAGCGTTGGCCCCAAGCTTCTCGCTTCTTGCATCACCCATCACAGCCCTTCTGTGTCAGATCTTGCAATGCTCTCTGTTTCCTCGTGCAGGGTCTGATTGATACAGAGCTCAAGTGATACCGATAAGAATCTCTTACACGTAAATTCAAGATTTGTCACATTTTCTGAAGTCCCAGATATTATTTTGAAGTAAAAAAGTGTTATATGTTTTTTTTTTTAAGATTTATTTACTTATTTGAAAAGCAGAATTACAGAGAGGCAGAGAGGTCTTCCATTTGCTGGTTTACTCCCCAAATGGTTGGAATAGTGGAAGTTGTGCCGATCGGAAGCCAGGAGCATCTAACAGGTCTCCCACATGGGTACAAAAGTCCAAGCACCTGGGCCATCTTCTGCTTTCCCAGGCCACAGCAGAGAGCTGGGTCGGAAGTAGAGCAGCCAGGGCTAGAGCCAGAGCCCATATGGGATGCCGGCACTGTGGTGGTGGCTCTACCCGCTATGCCACAGCTCCGGCCCTGTGTTGTAATTTCTGTTTGGCATGAGGAAATGAATGTTTGTTGAATGGCCACTTCCAGATTTTTCATATTTTCCAATGAAAATTAAAGGGAACAGAGGAAGCCTGCTCAAGTTAAATTATTTGGGTCCCACAGAAGGCTGGTGCTGAATTACAATTGGAATTCTACAGCTAAGAACTTGCATTGCTGCCCTTCAGCAAGAGCTGGAAGAGATCCGTTCCCAGGGATAGGCTGGTGTACAGCGTTATTAAAAATGGCTTGGTCGTTTTTTGGAAAATCGCTGCCTCAGAGCTGGAACCGCAGTCATTTTCTGCCCTGCTCCCCTTAGCTGGGACACTGTCTCAGCGTTAGGCAGAGTTAGTATCAGATCTGCATATGGCTCTTCCTAGGCCACCTTAGCACCTGGACAAGTGACGGGCGAGGAGTTCTTGAGGTGAACATTTATTCAGGCGTGGAACTGTCCGAAATACGTCAGGGCATCCTTACATCGGGAGACGTGAGGAAGAAATGTCACAGAGTAGAATGGGCCAAGGAGTTCTGTTGCCAGGCTGCCAGCCTTCTGCCTTGGCGACAGTGCCTGGGGAAGAGTGGGTGAGGCCCGGCCTTCAGCTCATCGGCTGGCCGCCAGCTTCTGTGGTGAGGGAGGCCCTGGACTGCAGCTGGCGCGAGCTGACCGCCCTGCTTGTAAAATAGAGAAGGCCGTGCTCTACTTCCACGGGCCTGTCTGAGGACTTCCAGGGGTCATCTCACAGTGCTCTTGAACGCGCCTAAGAACCGGGTCCTGGTTTGTAGGGGGTGTTGGAGTGAACAGCGATTTGGAATACGCGGAATTCAGTGCATATGTTTACAGGTAAAATTCTAAGTATAAATTCAGATTTCATAGACTCTGGGGATTTCTAAATTATCCAGAATTCTCTCATCTTTGAGACTAAGGAAATAAGAATGTTAAGAAGTAACAGCAACAAGAGCTAAAACTTCTTTAGGGTTTACTGTGTATCAGGAACTATTTGTATCCGTTCTCTTGGTTTATTATTAGAGCGACAGAGAGAGGAGCAAGGAGGGGAGAGACAGAGAATGAGAATTCTCATCTGGGCACTATTTGAACCTCTCATGTGTGAAGTCGTCCACTCCTCACAGTTCTGTTCCCTGCCCCTCCTACTTGTGTGATCCCCTACCCTGTGTTGCTTTGTTTTATCATCATCCGTTCTTTCTCTTAGACCCTCCTCCCCACCTTCCCTGCCTGCCCCACCCCCCACTGTAAGCTCCCTGCAATCAGTCATTTGTGGTCACTTCAGAGTCCTCGGTGCCAGAACAGTGGCACACAGTAGGCAGTTGGAGATACCAGTTGAATGAATGAGTCTCGGGGTTTTTTTTTTTTTTACTTTTTGACAGGCAGAGTGGACAGTGAGAGAGAGAGAGACAGAGAGAAAGGTCTTCCTTTGCCGTTGGTTCACCCTCCAATGGCCGCCGCGGTTGGCGCGCTGCGGCCGGCGCACCGCGCTGATCCGATGGCAGGAGCCAGGTACTTCTCCTGGTCTCCCATGGGGTGCAGGACCCAAGCACTTGGGCCATCCTCCACTGCACTCCCTGGCCACAGCAGAGAGTTGGCCTGGAAGAGGGGCAACTGGGACAGAATCCGGCGCCCCGACCGGGACTAGAACCCAGAGTGCCGGCGCCGCAAGGCGGAGGATTAGCCTGTTGAGCCGCAGCGCTGGCCCTGAGTCTTGGTTTTATAGATGAGAAAATTGTACATTTTTCAAGGTCACACATCTGGTAATTATCTAAGGACTTTGATTAAGTTAAAATTCGTTCAGCTTTTAAAGTTTATTTCAAAGAGAGAACAAACAAACTCGCAATTCCATTTGCTGGTTTACTCCCCAGAGCACTGCAATAGCTAGGGCTGGCCCAGGCTGAAGCCACAAGCCTGGGCCTTCATCTAGATCTCCCACGTGGATAGCAGCTTGAACCTTTGCCGGCTGCCCCCAGAACTGCATCAGCAGGAAGTTGGGTTTGAAGTGGAGTAGCTAAGCCAGGCATTCCAGTGTGGAATGTGGGTGTCCCAAACATGCATTTACCCACTGTGCACAAGAGCTGCCCTTCATCGTCGTCGTCTTTTTTTTTTTTTTTTTTTTGACAGAGTTAGTGATAGAGAGACAGAAAGGTAGAGTTATAGACAGAGAGAAAGGTCCTCCTTTTGTTGGTTCACCCCCCAAATGGCTACTACGGCCAGCGCGCTGCGCCAATCTGAAGCCAGGAGGCAGGTAAATCCTCCTGGTCTCCCATATGGGTGCAGGGCCCAAGTACTCCACTGTACTTCCTGGGCCACAACAGAGACCTGGACTGGAAGAGGGGCAACCGGGACAGAATCCTGCGCCCCGACTGGGCTAGAACCCGGGGTACCAGCGCGCAGGTGGAGGATTAGCCTAGTGAGCCGCGGCGCCGGCCGCCCTTTATCTTCTAAACACTACGTATTCAGGAGTGTGAAATGACCATTAGTACTTGGATTTAGAGTACCGTCTCCCTTCCAATTCCAAAAGCCACCTCATAAATGGAACATTTTTCTTTTTTTCACAAAACCTGACTTGTCTTTTATTGTGGAACTTTTTAAAAAATATTTTGTTTATTTATTTGAGAGGTAGAGTCATAGACAGTGAGAGGGAGAGACAGAGCAAAAGGTCTTCCTTTTGTTGGTTCATTCCCCAGATGGCCGCAATGGCTGGAGCTACACCAGTCCGAAGCCAGGAGCCAGGAGCTTCTTCCCAGTCTCCCATGTGGATGCGGGGGCCCAAGCACTTGGGCCATATTCTACTGCTTTCCCAGGCCATAGCAGAGAGCTGGATTGCAAGAGAGGCAGCCGGGACTAGAACCGGTGCCCATATGGGATGCCAGCGCTGCAGGCGGAGGATTAACCTGCGCCATGGTGCCGGCCCCATTGTGGGACTTTAATAGTAGACCAAGTTCGAGGCTGAGGAAGCAGTGATACATGGTGACATTGTAAATGGAAGAAGGTTTAGTGCAGCCTCCATATAGTGGAGGCATGAGCCAAGGTTACCCAGCAAGCTTCCTGTCTCAGAGGGATTCGTAAATTAGGTACCCTTCTTTATTCACTGCACACACCACACACACCATACATGCCACACCCCCACACCATACATGCCACACATACCACACACACACCGCACGCACCATACATACCACACCCCCACACCATACATGCCACACATACCACACACACACCGCAAGCACCATACATACCACACACATACCATACACACCACATATACCACACCCCACACCATACACACCATACATACCACACACATACCATACACACCACATATACCACACCCCCACACCATACACACCATACATACCACACACATACCATACACACCACATATACCACACCTGCCATACCACACACACCATACATGCCACACCCCCACACCATACACACCATATATACCACACACATACCATACACACCACATATACCACACCCCACACCATACACACCATACATACCACACACATACCACACACACCACATATACACACCCCACACCATACACACCATACATACCACACACATACCATACACACCACATATACCACACCCCCACACCATACACACCATACATACCACACACATACCATACACACCACATTCCCACACCCCCACACCATACACACCATACATACCACACACATACCATACACACCACATATACCACACCCCACACCATACACACCATACATACCACACACATACCATACCACACCACATATACCACACCCCCCACACCATACACACCATACATACACACACATACCATACACACCACATATACCACACCCCACACCATACACACCATACATACCACACACATACCATACACACCACATATACCACACCCCCACACCATACACACCATACATACCACACACATACCATACACACCACATATACCACACCCCCACACCATACACACCACATATACCACACCCCCACACCATACACACCATACATACCACACACATACCATACACACCACATATACCACACCCCACACCATACACACCATACATACCACACACATACCATACACACCACATATACCACACCCCCACACCATACACACCATACATACCACACACATACCATACACACCACATATACCACACCCCCACACCATACACACCATACATACCACACACATACCATACACACCACATTACCACACCCCCACACCATACACACCATACATACCACACACATACCATACACACCACATTACCACACCCCCACACCATACACACCACACACACCACACACATACCATACACACCACATTACCACACCCCTATACATCCCCCCACATACCACGCACACCATACATACCACACACACCACATATACAACACCCCCCCACACCATACACCCCCCACATACCACACACACACCATATGCACACCATGCACACACAATACATACCACACATGCCATACATACCACAACCCCCCCACCATACATACCACACATATACCACACACATACCATATACAACACAGATACACCATACACACCACACGCATCATACACACCACACACACCATACACAACACACATAGACCATTCATACTACACACAACATATATAATACACACATACTACACAAACACACCATGCACACACCACACACACCATACATACAACACACACCATACACACCACACATATCATACATACCACACACGCCATATGTACCACAATACCACACACAGACACCATAACACTACTACACACACACACACACACACACACCATACACACCACACATGCCACACACACACACCATACATACCACCCACACCATACATACCACACATTCCCCACACACACCACATATTACCACACATACCATGCACATATCACACACACCACACCACATACACACAGTTTTGGAGATTTGTGTGGCTTTGGGAAGGAATGTAACTCTGGAGAGGGTGACAGAATGTGAGTGAATGCTCAGATGTGGGGCTGGTGCTGGGGTGTCGTGGGCTAAGCATTCAGTTGCAGCCCCAGCATCCCATGTGGGCGCTGGTTCTAGTCCTGGCTGCTCCACTTCTGATCCACCTCTCTGTCTATGGCCTGGGAAAGCAATGGAAGATGGCCCAGCTGCTTGGGCCCCTGCACCCACATGGGAGACCTGGAAGAAGCTCCTGGCTCCTGATTTTGGATTGGCTCAGCTCTTGCCACTGCAGCCATTTGGGGTGTGAACCAGTGGATGGAAGACCTCTCTCTGTCATTTCCTCTCTCTGTCTATAACTCTGCCTCTCAAATCTTTTAAAAAAGATTTATTTATTTAGTTGAAAGAGTTACACAGAGGTACTGGCACTGTGGCACAGCGGGTTAAAGTCCTGGCCTGAAGCGCCGGCATCCCATATGGGTGCTGGTTCTAGTCCCGGCTGCTCCTCTTCCAATCCAGCTCTCTGCTATGGCCTGGGAAAGCAGTGGTAGATGGCCCAAGTCCTTGGGCCCCTGTACCCGTGTGGGAGATCCGGTAAAAACTCCTGGCTCCTGGTTTTGGATTGGCGCAACTCTGGCCGTTGACACCATTTGAGGAGTGAACCAGCAGAAGGAAGACCTTTCTTTCTGTCTCTCCCTCTCACTGTCTGTAACTCTGCCTCTCAAATAAATAAATAAAATCTTAAAAAAAAAAAAATAGGTACACAGAGAGAAGGAGAGGCAGAGAGAGAGAGGGGTCTTCCATCCGTTGGTTCACTCTTCAGTTGGCTGCAATGGCTGGAGCTGCGCCGATCCAAAGCCAGGAGCCAGGAGCTTTGTCCAGGTCTCCCATGTGGGTGCAGGGGCCCAAGGATTTGGGCCATCTTTTACTGCTTTCCCAGGCCATAGCAGAGAGCTGGATCGGAAGTGGAACAGCCAGGTCTTGAACCGGTGCCCATATGGGATGCCAGCATTATAGGCAGTGGCTTTACCCACTGTGCCACATTGCCGGCCCCAATAAATAAATCTTAAAGAAAAAAGTTTGAGAACCAGTGGACAGTGTTTCTCAAACTTTATTAAAGAAAAATGTGCTCAACTGTGATTGGTGAAGCCTTTGTGGAAAATAGGAAGGAAATGAAAGTCGCAGGCTCACGTAGCCCCAGGGTGACTAGAAGATGGATAACTGGAAAATGAAGTCAGTCTCCTTGCATGAAAGTCATATCCATACTTTGTCATAATTTCCTTTGCCAGGTCCAGGGGTAGTCCGTTGGGAAGGAGTGAATAGCGTTACTTTTTTATTTTCCTGCTCAGGCAGCAGTAGCTGTGAGTCCAGTGGGAATGTGGTGTGTGAATCTTAGGTTTCTGTAGGCTGTTTGTCCTCAAGTGCTGTAGCATCCTGGAAAGGATTAAAGTAATTTCCCTCTCCTCCCTTCCTCTGTCCTTTCTTTTACATTAAAAAAATTTGTTTATTTTTTTATGCATGTATTTGAAAGGCAGAGCCGTAGGGGCAGGGAGAGACCTACCTCCTGGCTCACTTCCCAAATGCCTGCAACAGCTAGGACGGGAGCAGGCCGAAGTCAGCTGCAGGAACTCCACCTGGGTCTCTCACGTGGGTGGCAGTAGCCCAAGCACTTGGGCCATCACCCACTGCCTTGCAAAGCTCAACAGTGGGGAACTGGACCAGAAGTAGAACTGCTGGGACTCTAGCTGGCATTCTGATACAGTGGAGAACTGGACCAGAAGTAGAACTGCTGGGACTCTGGCTGGCATTCTGATACAGGATGCCGGTGTTGGTGTTGCAAATGGCAGCCTGACCCACTACACTGCCCTCTTCTTTCACTTTTGTTTTTTTTTTTTTTTTTTTGACAGGCAGAGTGGACAGTGAGAGAGAGAGAGACAGAGAAAGCCTTCCTTTTCCACTGCGCTGAAGCCAGGAGCCAGGCACTTCTCCTGGTCTCCCATGCGAGTGCAGGGCCCAAGCACTTGGGCCATCCTCCACTGCACTCTTGGGCCACAGCAGAGAGCTGGCCTGGAAGAGGGATGACCGGGATAGAATCCAGAGTGCCAGCGCTGCAGGCGGAGGATTAGCCTATTGAGCCGCGGCGCTGGCCCTTCTTTCACATTTTTAAAGAGAGAATGTTTCAAACATTCATTAAAGGGTGTGAAATAGTAATACAAAAACCCAGATACCCGCCAGGCAGAGAATCTGGTTTTTGTTTAGAGCTTGTAAAATTTTTTAGGGTAACAAGTATTAAAGAAAGATTTTTTTGAAGTATCCTTTTAAAAAAAAATTTATTTATTTAATAGATTTTGAGAGTCAACTCCCATCTGCTAGTTAATTCCCCTAATACCTACCTTGTGGCCAGAGCCAGTAACTCAGTCCAGGTCTCCCAAGTGGGTGGCAGGGACCCACTTACTTGAGCCATCAGGTGACACTGCTTTCCAGGGTGTGTGTTAGCAGGAAGCTGCAATCAGGAGCTGGAGCCAGGCTCTGGTGTGGGATGTGGGTGTCCTGTTAGCTTAGCTGCTGGGCCAGACATCTACCCTTGAAGTCTCCTTTTTTCTTTTCCTAACCCTGTTCGTCTGCCTCGCTTCCTTGAGGTCTTACTATTTTGAATTTGATGTGGATCTATCTCGTCCGTACCACAGAGGGATACTTTCTGTGGGGGCTGATGCTGTGGCATAGCAGTAGAGCTGCTGCCTGTGATGCCAGCATCCCGTATGGGTGCTGATTCATGTCCCAGCTGCTCCACTTCCTATCCAGCTCCCTGCTAATGGCCTGGGGAAGCAGTGGAAGATGGTCCAAGTGTTTGGGCCCCTGCACTCACGTGGGAGACCCAGATGAAGCTTCTGGCTTCAGCCTGGCCCAGCCCTGGCCTTTGCAACCATCTGGGGAGTGAACCTGTGAATGGAAGACCCCTGTCTCTGTCTATCCTTCTGTCTCTAAAACTCTTTCAAAATAAATAAATCTTAAAAAAAAGAAGAGTACTTAAAAAAAACTTACTTATTTATTTGAGAAGCAGAGTTACAAACAGGGAGAGACAGAGGAGAGAGAGGTCTTCCATCTGCTGGTTCCCTCCCCAGATGGCCACAACAGTCAGAGTATCCGGAGTCAGGAGCCAGGAGCCTCCTGTAGGTCTTCCAAACAGATACAGGGGTCCAAGGCCTAAGACCATCCTCTGCTGCTTTCTCAGGCCATAAACAGAGAGCTGGATCAGAAGAGTAGTCGGGACTCGAACCAGCTCCCATGTGGGATGCCAGTGCCGCAGGTGGAGGGTTAACATACTAAGCCACAGCGCTGGCCCCCAAGAAAAATACGTTTTTAGTGATTATTTTTTCCCCTGTATTTTAAACTTTGATTTCATTGTGTAAGTAACTTATTCCATGGTTTTCAGTCATGAGTCATTTTTTAAAATTTTCATTGTTGACTTTTCATTCCTGGGAAATAAGTATAATTTCCCATTTGAGCCATTTTTAAAGATTGTGCTTAATTATTTAAATTACTTTGGTATTCTGACCTGCCAGGTGTGACATTAGGTTACATGTATTTTGTTTTGTTAGTAACATTCATGAAATCTTTAGAATATCTTCCTGTTGACCATCTGCAACCAATGAGAAAAGGAGAGAAAAAAGAACAAAGGAAGATTTTCTGTTATTCAGGCCGAGTTAATCATTTGAGAAACTGACTTTATAAGCCACAAAAACTCAGGGAGGCGTGTGTACAATATAAAATAGTAGGACAGGTACTCTGCAGTTCAGTAGTCTGTTTGGGTGCACTGCCCCATATTAGCAGCATGAAGCCTTTACTGTGCTGAGTCTGCTTACGGTTAGTTCAGACGCGAAGGCAGTGCTAAAGGAGAAAATCTGAGAATGACTGTCATTTGTTTTGTCAACTGTGCTGTCCAGCTCCCGAGTTTCCTATTCTGGAGAAGCAGAACTGGTTGATTCATCTGCACTATATCCGGAAGGACTATGAAGCATGCAAGGTGAGAGACTGCAGTGGCAGAGGAAGCGAGGCACTGGGGAGCCAGCCGCCAGCGTGCCGGCCCACTCGCACGGCTGGGCCCCGTGCTCCTCACCCGTGCGGTGGCTCGCTTTTGCTGTGGTACTGCTGTTGAGAAAACTTCAGTGGGCAGATGTTACTGGTGCTAATGGGCCTTCAGGCTGCCAGTGGGGTGGCTGGGTGTGAATGCCATGTGGCTCAGGTCCTGTGTGTGCCGTGGGTCCTCTTGTGTCACGGCCAGGCTGAAAGGCCAGCCACTCCAGGACTTCTTGGTTTCCTGGTGGAGACAAGTGTCTGTCGTCTTCTTTTTCTTTAATCTTCTGTCAGGTGAAACATGCTATTTCATTAAGTTTTATTTCATAATTCTCTGCCAGTGCAGGCAGTTGCCATTTGTGCATTTAAAATCATTTGTATTTCCCTTTCTCTGTTTATCTCTTTGGTAACATTGCTAGCAGATGGGCAAAGCATTAACATGCAGAATATGTCCCTGGTGCTGTCTTTTTTAGCATTCACTTTTGTGCTGCTTCTAAGGTTGTGGTTTTTAATTTACACGCTGTGGCGTTTATACTGTGGCAGTGCCCACAGCAGTGATGGTTAGTGCCAGTAGGAGTTTTGCGTTCTCCTCTTCCTTCTGTGATAGGACCTTTTATTTGTTTCCCTTTTCCTTTTTTGACCACTTCTCAGATTCTTTGACTTCTCCTCCTCTGCTTATTTCTTAACAGTTGGGGATGTTGTTAGGTCCTGTCCTTCCACCCCCCTTTCTGCCCCACCCTCCACCGTACTTCCTGATCTCGACTAGTCTGATACCCACTGAATGCCCCAGAAGCATTTCAAGTCCAACTTCTCTGTGGCTGAATTTATCTGCTGTCCTCTGTATACCTTCTGCCACTTCCTGTCTCACAGAGGAGTCACATCATTCACCCAGCAGGGCCACTTTTTATAAAGGATTATTTATTTATTTGAAAGGCAGTCACAGATGAGACCTTCCATTGTCTGGTTCACTCCCCAGCAGGCTGCCATGGCCAGAGCTGGGACTATCCAGAGCCGGGAGCCAGGAGCTTCATCTGGGTCTCCCACGTGGGTGCAGGGCCCCAGGCACTTGGGTCATCTTCTGCTGCTTCCCTAGTTATTAGCAGGGAGCTAGATCAGAAATGGAGCAGCTGGGACTCAAACCGCTGCCCACATGAGATGTTGGCGCTGTGCCACAGCACTGAAATGGATACTCATCAAGGCTGGAGATCCTTCTTTGACCATCTCTCTCTCTCTCTCTCTTTTTTGTTTTAAGATTTATTTAATTATTTGAAAGGCAGAGTTAGAGGCAGAGAGAGAAAGAGAGGTCTTCCATCCGCTGGTTCACTGCTCAGATGGCCACAATGGCTGGAGTTGCGCTGATCCGAAGGCAGGAACCAGGAGCTTCTTCCAGGTCTCCCACGCGGGTGCAGGGGCCCAAGGATTTGGGCCATCTTCTACTGCTTTTCCAGGCCACAGCAGAGAGCTGGACTGGAAGAGGAGCTACCGGGACTAGAACCAGGTGCCCATAAGGGATGCCAGCGCCGCAGGCGGAAGATTAACAAAGTGAGCCATGGCACCAGCCCCCTAAAATAAATGAAATTTTTAAAAAAAATCTGAATGAGGCCGGCGCCACGGCTCACTAGGCTAATCCTCCGCCTAGCGGTGCCGGCACACCGGGTTCTAGTCCCGGTCGGGACGCCGGATTCTGTCCCGGTTGCCCCTCTTCCAGGCCAGCTCTCTGCTGTGGCCCGGGAGGGCAGTGGAGGATGGCTCAAGTGCTTGGCCTCCCGGCACCTCCATGGGAGGGGCGGGAAGAAATGCCTTGGCTCCTGGGCCCCTGCCAATGGATTAAGCCCGGTTGCCCCGGCCCCCGGCGGGCCATTGGAGGGTGGAACTTAACGGCAAAAGGAAGGCCTTTCCTTTCTGTTTTTCTTTTTTTCCCGGTCCATTTTGCCGGCAAGAAAAAAAAAAAAAAAATTCCGAAAGAACTTTTTTTTGGTATTTTTTTAATTCCTAGGTTTTTTTATAAATGCCCCTTATCCATATCTGTATTTTCTTTTTTTTTTAATATCCTTACTGTTTATTTTTTTATTTTTTTGACAGGCAGAGTGACAGTGAGAGAGAGAGAGACAGGGAGAAAGGTCTTCCTTTTCCATTAGTTCACCCTCCAGTGGCCGCTGCGGCTGGCGCACCGTGCTGATCCAAAGCCAGGAGCCAGGTGTCTCTCCTGGTCTCCCATGGGTTGCAGGGCCCAAGGACTTGGGCCATTCTCCACTGCCTTCTTCCCGTGCCACAGCAGAGAGCTGGCCTGGAAGAGGGGCAACCGGGACAGAATCTGGCACCCCGACCGGCACTAGAACCCGGTGTGCTGGCGCCGTAGGTGGAGAATTAGCCTATTGAGCCACAGTGCCGGCCCCCTTACTGGTTTTTAAGTTACTTTTTTTTTCTTTTAGATTTTTATTTATTTGAGAGAGCTACAGACAGAGAGAAAGGTCTTACATCTGTTGGTTCACTCTCCAAATGGCCACAATGGCCAGACCTAGGCCAATCCGAAGCCAGGAGCCAGGAGCTTCTCTCTGGTCTCCCATTTGGGTGCAGGGGCCCGAGGACTTGGGCCATCTTCCACTGCTTCCCCAGGCCATAGGCAGAGAGCTGGATTGGAAGAGAAGCAGCCAGAACTTGAACTGGTGCCCACATGGGATGCCGGCACTGCAGGTAGAAGCTTAACCTGCTAGGCCACAGTGCTGGCCCCAGTGTTTTCTTTTTTTTAAACATATTATTTATGTGTTTAATTTATTTGAAAGACAAAGAGTTGGACAGAGATTTCCTATCCACTGGTATGTTCCCCAGATGCCCACAACAGCTGGGGCTGTGCCAAGCGGAAGCCAGGAGCTGAAACTCAGTCTGGGTCTCCTATGTGGGTGTCAGGGACCCAACTGCTTGAGCCATTGACTGCTGTCTCCAAGGTGAGCATTACCAGGGAGCTGGGATTGGAAGCAAAGCTAACTCTCAAGCCGAGGCACTCTGATACACCACGTGGGTGTCTGATAACCTCTTAGTCTCTAGGCCAAGCACCTGCTTTGCTTGTCTGCCTTTTCTTAGACATTTTCCTTCCTCTTTCAGGCTGTTATCAGAGAGCAGCTTCAAGAGACCCAGGGCTTGTGTGAATATGCTGTCTACGTTCAAGGTAAGACACGGTTTCTCCTATTGCTAGAGAAGTGCACTTCTCTAGCAGGTTCAAGGGAGAGTCAACAACTTGTGAAATATTTAAATTCAAGTAAATGTTCCACAAAGATCTTATTTAGTATGATCTCTTTTTCTGAAATCTGCACACATATTTTTTAAATAAACAAGTGCATTTAAAAATTTTTATTGGGGCTGGCATAAAGCAGCAGATGGTAGGCCAGGTCCTTGAGCCCCTGCATCCTGGTGGGAGACCCCGAAGGAGCTCCTGCTTCAGTGTGGCCCAGCCCTGGCCATTGCAGCCATTTGGGGAGTGAAACAGTGAAACAGCTGCTGGAAGATTCTTTGTCTCTCTCTCTGTATACTCTGCCTTTCAAATAAATAAATCTCTAAATTTTTTTTTAAGTTTATTTGAGAGGCAAAGAGAAAGAACTGTCGTCTGTTGGTTCACTTCCCAAATGCCCACAACAAAGAAGGTTGCAATGACCTAAAGCCGGGATCTTGGAAATCAGTCTAGGTCTACCATGTGGGAGGCAAGGTACTTGGGCATTACCACTCTCTCCCAGGGTCTGCTTTACTGAGAAACTGGGTTCAGAGGCTGGGACTGGAACCTAGGCACTCTAGTGTAGGACATGGGGGTCTTTTTTTTTTTTTTTAAAGATTTATTTGGGGCCGGCACCGTGGCTCACTTGGCTAATCCTCCACCTGCAGCGCTGGTACCCCGGAGTTCTAGTCCCAGTTGGGGTGCTGGATTCTGTTCCGGTTGCTCCTCTTCCAGTCCAGCTCTCTGCTGTGGCCCAGGGGGGCAGCGGAGGATGGCCCAAGTGCTTGGGCCCTGCACCTGCATGGGAGACCGGGAGGAGGCACCCGGCTCCTGGCTTCAGATCAGTGCAGCGCTGGCTGTAGCGGCCATTAGGGGAGTGAACCAGCAGAAGGAAGACCTTTCTGTCTCTCTCTCTCTCACTGTCTAACTCTGCCTGTCAAAAAAGAAAATAAATTTTAAAAATAAAAAAAAAAAGAGATTTATTTGGAAGACAGAGTTACACACAGAGAGGAGAGGCAGAGAGAGAGAGAGAGAGAGGTCTTCCATCTGCTGGTTCACTCCCCAATTGACTGCAATGGCTGGAGCTGTGCCGATCCGAAGCTGGGAGCCAGGAGCTTCCTCTGGGTCTCCCACACAGGTGCAGGGCCCTAAGGACTTGGGCATCTTCTGCTGCTTTTCCAGGCCATAGAAGAGAGCTGGATCTGAAGTGGAGCAGCTGGGATTCAACCTGGTGCCCATGTGGGATGCTGGTACTGCAGGCGGTGGCCTTACCCACTATGCCATAATGCCGGCCCCACAGTCCAGTCTTTCAGAGCCTGTTAAATTCTCGTGGAAACCTAGGTCTGAGAGAAACTGTTTGTTCTGATTGGTTGCTGTACTGAAAACCAGGGTCTTGCCTTCTGCTGAGTTCTTTGCCAGAATCTTCTTGGTGGACTTGGATATTGATTCTACTTGCCCCATTTGGGTGTCCTGTCAGGGGGAAGTCAAGCACCTCGTGGGGAAGCCCAGAAAGATTCCTTATTGTGAAGACTTTATGTGATAATTCGCAAAGGAACCTGTTAGCTTTGTAGTAGATGCAAGGAAGGCTTGAACTATGTTACTGAAAACATTTCAGCCTATCAGGGGTTTTGCTTACGGTTTCCAGTCCGTCTGAAGTCATATCTGATTGTATTGAAAGCGTATCTGGGGCAGGCACGATAGCACAGTAGGTTAATCCTCCGCCTGTGACGCCGGCATCTTATATGGGTGCCGGTTCTAGTCCTGGCTGCTCCTCTTCCAATCCAGCTCTCTGCTGTGGCCCGGGAAAGCAGTAGAAGATGGCCCAAGTGCTTGGGCCCCTGCACCCACATAGGAGACTAGGAATAAGTTCCTGGCTTCTGGCTTCGGATCGGCGCAGCTCTGGCCGTTGTGGCTGTTTGGGGAGTGAACCAGCAGAAGGAAGACCTTTCTCTCTGTTTTCTCCCTCTCACTGTCTATAACTCTACCTCTCAAATAAAAAAATAAAATATTTAAAAAAAGAAAAACAAGTATCTGGATGTGTGTTTGATGTAGCAATTAAGACAGTGCTTTGGATACCCACATCCCATATTGGAGTGCTTGGGATTTGAGTCTCAGCTCTGTATCTGATTCTGTTTCTTTTTAGATTGATTTATTTATTTGAAAGGCAGAGTTAGATAGAGAGGGAGAAACAGAGATAGATCTTCCATCTGCTAGTTCACTCCCCAAATGGCTGCAAAGGTGAGGGAGGATGGGTTGGGCTGAAGCTAGGAGCTGGGAGCTTCTTCCAGGCCTCCCACGTGGATGCAGGGGCCTAAGGACTTGGGCCATCCTCTGCTGCTACTCAGGCACATTAGCAATGAGCTGGATCTCAAGTGGAGCAGCTGGAACTTGAACTGGCCCCATACAGGATGCCAGTGTTGCCGGCGGCACTCATCCCTGCTTCTGGTTCCAGCTTCCTGCCAGTGCAAGACTGGGAGGCAGCAGATGGTGGCTCCGTCGTTGGGTCCCTGTCACTCACATCCGAGACCCAGATTGAGTATTTGGCTCCTGGCTTTGGCCCGGCCCAGACTCAGCTGTTACTGTAGGCATTGGGCAGTAAACCTGCAGATGGGAGATCTCTGTTTCTCTGCTTTCACAAAAAAAAAGAGTTATCTGAAAGATTTGTTTGGTGTGGTTTCCCACTTCCTTTTCTCCATTTTTTCTGATGCCAGGTTTCTTTCTGGCCAGAACATGGTTTTATTTTCTCTGTTTTCTCTTGCTCGGCAGCACTGATACTTCGCCTAGAAGGGAAGATCCAAGAATCCCTGGAACTCTTTCAGACCTGTGCTATCCTCAGCCCTCAGAGTGTTGACAACCTCAAGCAAGTGGCCAGGTCCTTGTGAGTGTCACAGAGCAGCACCAGCTGCACTCGCCAGCACGGTCTGATGCCCGGGGGGAAGGTGGTGAAATGGGTGTAATGCGATTCATTTTGAACAGCAGATGAATTCTGAAATTTCAGAAAATCAGTTAAATAGTATTAAGAAACTAAATATTTTCCAAACACTACATTCTGGTTTGATGGCAGAACCCTTTATCATGGAAATAGTGACGTCTTGTGCCCTTAGTCCTCTGTCATATTGGCAGCCCACGGGAGTTTTCTCTGACACAGCACTTGACATGTGGTAGGTTTTTAGTATTTGTTGAGTAACTGCCCTGAAGTTTCCTGGACGTGAGTGGCCTCTGACTCCTCTCTAAGCGGTCGGGCACCCCCTTTCCCAGCAGGGAAGGCCCAGGGGTTCCCGTGTCCATTTTCTTAACCTGCTCTGCCTTTCATAGCTGCATTGCTCTTGCATGGAGCCCAGTCTTCCTGTTTCTCCCAACCTCAGGATCCACTGTCAAGGAACAGAGACTTAGGCTCGGGAGTAAGAACAAGTCCCTAACGGCTGATGCGGATCAGTGAAGGCAGCCATTGCTTAACGGGCTGGCTCACTGGCTTGTTTCACGGTCTGCGTCTGTTGAACATTGTTGAAGATGGTTCTAGGAAGCTTTTACTGAGACTGTGTAGAGTGCCAAGGCCTGCAGCAGCTGCCAGTGCAGACCTTCATGGCTGGCTCCCACAGCAAAAGCAGTGCGGTTAGTGTGGTAAGCGTCTCGAGGACATCCGTGTGGATAATGTGTCTTCCACAGGTTTCTTTTAGGAAGACATAAAGCTGCCGCTGAAGTCTATAATGAAGCAGCGAGACTCAACCAGAAAGACTGGGTGAGTAGGGAACTTGGGTTTTTTCTTACCCATCAACATGCCCTTTATTGGTAGGACTGGATTCTTAAATGCGCTCTGTGTGACTGATGATCAGGCCAGGTGTGGGATCCGAAATCAGATGTGCTGCTAGCTTTCGAGACCTCGCTGCTGGACTTCCTGGAAGTCAGTGTTTTCTGTTTCTATTGTAGTCTCTTACCAGTCTGATTCTTACTGATAAATCTTTTCTTCTCCAGAAGCTTAGGAGATTTTTACTTTTTTTTTTTTTTTTAGATTTATTTGTTCATTTGAAAGGCAGAGTTACTGAGAGGCAGAGTGAGGGAGAGAGAGAGAGAGCGAGGTCTTCCATCTGTTGGTTCACGCCCCAGATGGCCACAATGACCAGAGCTGTGCCAATCTGAAGCCAGGAGCCAGGAGCTTCTTCCAGGTCTCTCACATGGGTGCAGGGGCCCAAGCACTTGGGCCATCTTCTACTGCTTTCCCAGGCTATAGCAGAGAGCTGGACTGAAGTGGAGCAGCCGGGACTTGAACCGGTGCCCTTATGGAATGCCAGTACTGCAGGCGGTAGATTTACCCAGTATGCCACAGCACCGGCCCCCGAGATTGCTTTTTATCACTGGGGTTCCAAAATGTCACACTGCGCATCTGTTGTGTTCTGTGGCCGCCTCCCGTGCCTGCTGCCTCCATCTCTCTGAAGACTCTTGTCTTTCTTTGGGTCAGGGAAATTTCCTTTAAGAAGTTATTTCATTATCTGTGTCTCTGAATCAGTTGGCGTTTATGTGAAAAACGCGACACCAAGTTAGGGGTTTATTTTCTTCCTCATGGAACACGAAGTCTAGGTGAGTAAGTGTCCCTGTTGACTTAGTGGACCTAGGTTGCCACAGTGAAGACTTTTCCTGGTGGTTACAAGATGACTGCTGCAGCTCTTGAGTCACATCTGCACCCCAGGCCTGCAGAAAGAAGCAATCAAGAAGAGGACTGAGCCAGTATCAGGGAAGCACACCTTTCCCAGAATTCCCCAGTAGACTTTCATTTTTGTCCAGATACCCCTTCTGTGGGAGAGGCTGGAAAATGTAGTTTTTAATGTGAACATGTCGCTACTATAGGTAAAACTGGGGTTCTGTTAGGAGGGGTGGGCAGTAACAGGTCGCCTGTGGCCTGTGCCACGCTGTTCCCGCCCCCGTGGGAGCGCTCCGAGCCTGCTCTCCTGCGTCTCTAGTGTTCTACCCCCGTCCTTGTACTGTATAGTCAGGGCAGTCCTTCAGCCCATCTTCCAGGTCACTGTGTTTGTTTTTAGCCACTTACATTCTGTCTAATATTTTTTTATTTCAGTGATTCTATTTTTAATTTCCAGGAACTTTGCCTGTTCTCTGTGGTCATCACCGTCTCTGATTCTTGGAGTTCTGTTCTTCCCAGAATGATCTTTTTCTTCCCCTCTTCATTCTGGTTCTTGTTTTCATGCTGTTGGTTTTCAAGTACTTGGTGATTCTTGAGGTGCTCTGCCTTCTGGGTGTGAAGGCCCAGACAGTAGGGCTTTCCTCCGTGAGCTGCACTGTTCCGTTTGACAGGTGTTCCGTTTGTCCATTTCCTCTGCAATTCTGAGACGGAGTTGTTTGAATATGCTAGACTGTTTTCTAGCAAAAGGCCCAAGTGAAGCTGTGGATAGATTCATGTCGTTCCTCACGTAGCTGCTGTGAACAACTGCATGTCTGGTGTGTGCCAGCCACCGTCTGTGCCCTGGGGCTGAGAGTCGGGCTTGTGGATGAGGGACAGTCATGTGGAGCAGGAGGTACAGGAAGGACGTCGGGCAGGCTTGGGAGAAGGCGATGAGAACCAGTCAGACGCAAATCCCGCCTCTCAGAGGCTGCTGCATGTGAGGAGTTGTGGGTCACCTGTCTGAACCCAGGATTTCACTGATTTGTTCTGTTTTCCTTTGCAAATTTCCTTTGCTGTCAGTGTCTGGGTTCCAGTCCCAGCTCTGCTCCTGACTCCAGCTTTCTGCTAGTGCACATCCTGGGAAGCAGCAGGAAACTGGGTCCCTCCCACTTAGATGGGAGCCTGCTTACGTCCCTGGCGCCCAGCTTCTACCTGGCCCAGCTCCAGCTGGCAGAGACTTTTGTGGCAAGTCATCTGCGGGTGGGAGAGCTCTGTCTCTGCCTCTCAGAAAAAAAAAAAAAATTTTTTTTTTGACAGGCAGAGTGGACAGTGAGAAAGAGAGACAGAGAGAAAGGTCTTCCTTTGCCGTTGGTTCACCCTCCAATGGCCACTACGGCTGGCGCTGCACCGATCCAAAGCCAGGAGCCAGGTGCTTCTCCTGGTCTCCCATGGGGTGCAAGGCCCAAGCACTTGGGCCATCCTCCACTGCACTCCCTGGCCACAGCAGAGAGCAACTGGGACAGAATCTGGCGCCCCAACCGGGACTAGAACCCAGTGTGCCAGTGCCACAGGTGGAGGATTAGCCTAGTGAGCCGTGGCGCTGAGCTCAAAAAAATAAATTTTAGAATGTATTTAAAGGTCTATTAGCCTGCAGGACATTGAGAGGACAAGCAGGGCTGCGTGTCTCCCACTGCTCCTGTGCGTGCGTTCCTAGGGTGAGGTGAAGCAGTGGGAAGTACACCTGTTTTGGAGACAGGTCTGATGAGCTCAAGTCCCAGTGCCTTTTTTTTTTTTTTTTTTTAAAGATTTATTAATTTGAGAAGTGAAGTTAGAGAGAGGGAGAGACAGAGAGAAAGGTCTTCTTTCCACTGGTTCACTACCCATATGGCTGCAATGGCCAGAGCTAGGCTGATCCAGAGCCAGGAGCCAGGAGCTGCTTCTGGGTCTTCACATGGGTGCAGGGGCCTGAAAACTAATGGCTTTTCATGGCCAGTAGCAGGGAGCTGGATCAGAAGTAGAGCAGCTGGGACTCGAACTGGTGCCCATACGGGATGTAAACCAGAGGTTGGCAGACCTTGTAAAGGGCAAGGAGTATAGATTTTTTTTTTAAAGGACTTATTTATTTACTTGAAAGTCAGTTACACAGACTAAAAAAGGAGAGGCAGAGAGAGAAAGAGAGAGAGGTCTTTCATCCACTGTTCACTCCCCAGATGGCCGCAATGGCCGGAGCTGCACCCGAGTTAGGAGCTTCTTCCTGGTCTTCCATGCAGGTGCAGGGGCCCAAGGACTTGGGCCCTCTTCTACTGCTTTCCCAGGCCATAGCAGAGAACTGGATCGGAAGAGGAGCAGCCGGGACTTGAACCTGCACCCGTATGGGATGCTGGCACTGCAGGCAGTGGCTTTACCCTCTATGCCACAGCACCAGCCCCGGGATTATACACTTTAAGCCTTGCATTTTCCTCTGGACTCTGTTGTGACTACTTACCACTGCAGTTTCACTGGCAAAAGAGCTGTAAGAAAACAAGTGTTCCTGTCTGTATTCAAATAAAACTTAATTACAGAAAAGAGCAGGGAGCCAGTTTGGCCCACTGGCCATAGACTTCGAACCTCTGCTCTGGACTTGTAGACTGGCTCCAAGTCCATCATTGTGGCCTCGCGGGCGCCGTGGTTCTTCCAGGGCGCATCACCCATGAAATTCAATTCCAGCTTCCTAGGAAAGGGGCCTGATGGGCTCAGGTGTCCAAATGTCGTCAGAGAGAGATTGATTAGGGTACAACTGGGAGGAAGCACAGGGGCAACTCTTAGAGAAGAATGTGTGGAGGTGGGCTGGGTACGTACCCGAATACCACATAGACCCAGCAAAATCACCTGTTTATTCTGCTTGTATCTCTTGTAGTCTGTAAATTTACTATATGAAGGATTAATTTTGTAGAAATACATGAACTCCAGTAAAGCTGACTGTTGTCCAGTTTTCAAGTCTGAATTTGCTGAGCGCTGACAACCTCGGGATGCCTGTTGTTTTACTTGACACTTGCGGTAGCATCATGCCTGAGGTGCCTGCCCTTTGTTTCGCACAGGAGATCTGCCATAACCTGGGTGTCTGCTACATGTGCCTGAAGCAGTTCAGCAAGGTAACCGACCGCAGCGGTCCTGCCCGGGGTTTCAGGAGGCGCACTTGCAGCAAGCGCTGCTTCTGTCTGATTCCCAGTGCTTGCAGAGATTCTTGGAAGTTAAAATTAAAAGTGCCTTATACATTTATCCCCACTTTAATTCCTGTTTTTTGTCATCCATATTTTTTTTCCTGCCTTTAATAAGAAAATGGAAAATACTAGAAATATTCTGAGGGAATGGCAGTCTAATTGCTTTTTTCTTTTTCTCTAACTTTCCGGCATAGAAACAAATGTTTAATAAAACATAAATATCAAAAAGTAGACCCTGATGTGAGCCGCTGTGACAGCAACTGATATTAGTTTCCAGGTCACTGAAAATGAGTCCTGAATTTTAAGTGGATTGGATTTTGATTTCTGAGAATATTTTCAATTATTTTCATGTCGAGAATTGGTAATTCGATGTGATTAAGTTCTAGGCTGTAAGGCTTTTTTAAAATAAATTAAAAAAAAAAAGATTTTATTTAATTGAAAGGCAGAGTTACACAGAAGCAGAGGCAGAGAGAGAGAGAGAAGTCTTCCATTCCCTGGTTCACTCCCTAAATGGCTGCAATGGCTGGAGCTGGGCCAGTCTGAAGTCAGGAGCCAGGAACTTTTTCCCAGTCTCCAGCGTGGAATGCAGGGGCCCAAGGACTTGGGCCATCTTCTGCTGCCTTCCAGGCCATAGCAGAGAGCTGGATCAGAAGAGGAGCAGCTGGGACTGGAACTGGTGCCCATATGGAATACTGGCCTGTAGGCGGTGGCTTCACCTGCCATGCCACAGTACCAGCTCCCAAAAGCTGTAAGGCTCTTAGGGAATGAAATTTGAGCTTACCTTAACTCAGATATAGAAGAAATATCTTAGGCCGGTGTTGTGGTGGCATGTGGTAGTGTGTAAAGCCCCCGCCTGCAATTCTAGAATTCCATATGGGTGCTGATTCCAGTACCGGCTGGTCCAGGTTTGATCCAGCTCCCTGCTAAAGTGACTGGGAAGGCAGTGTGGAAGATGGCCCAAGTCCTCGGGCCCCTTGTTCCCACATGGGAGACCTGGAAGAAGCTCCTGGCTTTGGATTGGCCCAGCTCTGGCTATTGAGGCCATCTGGGGAGTGAACCAGGTGGAAGATCTTTCTTTCTCTCTCTGTAACTCTGCCTTTCAAATAAGTAAATTTTTTTGATGATTCAGGTAGAGTTTCCTTCAAAGCCTCCATGTAGCAGTTGTGAAGTTTGATTCTCTTCTCTCCACTGCCACCAAGGCTGAGAGTCTGAATTGGTTTATACCTACTCAATGATGTTTATTTTGTTTGTTTGTAAACTAGGGTAACCTAATCTGTCATGGGTATGAAAACAAATGCACATCACTGAGGTGTAAGAGTAGCTTTTTCTCTTATGAGAGAGAGAAAAAATAAATTAAAAAATGTATATTTAGTGGGCTCCTTAGGTTTCCTGGATGGATTTACAGTTTTATATATTTGGTTCAGACTCCTTTGGGAGAATAATTTAAGCAGGTGCATTTCTGTCCTCAGAATTACTCTGAACCAGAGGAGAGGAGGACTTGGTATTTGCTTGGAACTCTCCTGAGGAGGAGAGTTAGGCTAAGCAAATACAGCAAACTCGTTCATGCAAATGCTGATTGAATCAGGTACCCGCGGGGATGTGGGCTCTGTATTCTGTTGATGATAGTATAGCCGGCACTCAGTGACTACTTGCCAGTGAGTTCTGTTTTCCGTTTGTCATCATATTGGTGGGAAGCTGTGCCTTTGGTCCGTGTGCAGTGGGGTCCCTCTGCTGAAGCGGGGGGCCTGCAGTAGTGAGCAGGAGCTGCTGTCCTTTCATCACAGTGACCGGGTTCTCTTCTCCCCTCACACGTGTCAGGCGCAGGAGCAGCTGCTCAGCGCCCTGCAGCTGCACAGGCACGACCTGACTTACATGATGCTGGGGAAGGTCCATTTGCTGGAGGGAGACCTGGACCAGGCCATCGGAGTCTACAGGAAAGCGGTGGAGTAAGTGCGTCTGTTTCCTCACCTGCACGAGCAGCTAGGAGGGTGCGTGAACTCCAGTCCTGAGAGCATGTGTGACTGCTGACTCGTCCTGTGCCGCAGTGGATTCTGTGAGGTGGGCTGTGTGTCTTCCTCATCCTAGGGGACAGCTGCGCTCAGCCAGCTGGGCTGTTCTCAAGGCCAGCGGGAGTCTGGTTGCCTCAGTCCTTAGGTGGTCGTCTCCTCCTGCGTGGTTGGAGCCGAGTTACTGTAACGTGGCGTCCCCGGGTGCACCTCCCCTCTGCTCGTGTATCATGGTTCAGAATCAGGTGGCCACTGCTGCTGCAGGGTAGTGGACAGACGTGCTCAGGAGGAAGAGGACGGAGCTGGGGGTCAGTCGGCCTTGTCGTTCTTATTTTATACTCTCTAGCAAAGATTGTGTTAGGTACAGGAACCTCATGGTTCAGCGGCGAACAGCTGGTCTCAGCATGAACTGATCATGGTTTTTTTTTTTTTTTTTAATTTTTTTTTTAAATAAAATATCACTAGGGTAATCCAAGCCTCTGTTAGTGGAACTGATTCCACCCTGGTCTTGTCTATTCATGGATCTGATACACTCTGAACTATACTTAGGTTTCTATTTATCAATTACCTTGTATTAATCTCTATGACTAAAGTATGTGAGAGGAGTCACGTGTAGAAGAACAAGGATTATTTTGGCTCATGGTTTCAGAGATTCACAGTCCAAGGTTGGGTGGCCCCATTAGTCTGTTGTCTGAAGACAGTGGATGGCAGAATACACGTGGAGGGATGGTGATGGGGTGAGCAGAAAGAGTGAGAGGGAACGTGCTCATCTCCTGCCACCCCCCACCCCACCCACATGTCTGTGTGGTCTTGTCCTAGAGAGCCACCATGGTGTCAGTCATCAGGGCCCCACTTCGCAGCCTAACCCAGTCTGAGCACTTTCCAAGGCTCTGCCTTCAGATGCTGTGAGTGGATCAAGCCCTCACCCTGTAATTGCCATCAGCCCATGACTGCATGAGCCAGGGAGCCAGATTCTACTCAACAATGGCCGCCGTCTTCCATGGTGGTCAGCTGCCAGGCTGTAGTAGTCACACACTGCTTTCTGAGTTTTCTTCAACCTTATTTTCAGTAAGTCAGAAACAATTCTTTGTTTATTAAACAACAAGAGACTTTTGTCATCTAGAGGCTGAGTTCATCTGGGCAGGAAGGAACCCTGTAGCGTGTAGGAGTGCCTCTGTGGTGCTGAGCGTCAGCCCGAGCCCTGCCTTCTGGAGGCTGGCTCTCTGGGATTGGCTCACACACATCCAAGGAATCCATTCTTCCACTGGCTGATCAAGTACTGGAGTCACTGTTCCCAAAGGCAGAAAAAGAGAGCTGAGTGGAGCCCCAGAGAAAGTTGAGACCCGTTTCTGCCTGGCAGCTTTGGGGAGAGCAGTCTTGCCTTGGTGGGGCCATGGAAGCTGCGGGAACCACAGAAGGTGCTTACATGGGGGAGGTGGTTGGTCGGAGTGGGTATCTATCATGGCAGGAGGAAGGCAGATTCCCCACTGAACTAGGAGAGCTGTGTTCAGCCTTCCCTGCGGGGGGCTTTGGTCTCAGCTCCTGGTCTCCCTGCAGGTAGCCAGTGTCCTGCCTGGTCCTTAGAAGCATGTGACATAATTTTTTGCCCTTTGGTGTTGTCAGCTGTCAGCTCTATGTTGCTTTGTTTTTGTTTTAATAGCATTTTTTAAAAAGATGTATTTACTTGAAAGTCAGTTACACAAAGAGAGGAGAGGCAGAGAAAAAGAGAGAGAGAGAGGTGTTCCATCCGATGGTTCACTCGCCAGTTGGCCGCAGTGGCCGGAGCTGTGCCAATCTGAAGCCAGGAGCCAGGAGCTTCCTCTGGGTCTCCCACGTGGGTGCAGCGGCGCAAGGACTTGGGCCATCTTCTACTGCTTTCCCAGGCCATAGCAGAGAGCTGGATCAGAAGAGGAACAGCCGGTTCTCAAACCGGCGCCCATATGGGATGCCGGTGCTTCAGGCCAGGGCATTAACCTGCTGTGCCACAGCACCTGCCCCTGTTGCTTTGGTTTGTGTCAAAGACAAATGCCAGTAAGGACTGAGAACTGCTTCCCAAGGCCAACAGCTGATTCCTTCCGAGGGCTGCAGTGTCTCTTCTTGCCTTTTTAAAGATTTATTTATTTGAAAGGCAGAGAGAAGTCTTCCGTCCACTGGTTCACTCCCCAAATGGCTGCAACAGCCAGAGCTGTGCTGATCTGAAGCCAGGATCCAGGAGCTTCTTCCGGGTCTCCCACGCAGGTGCAGGGGCCCAAGGTCTTGGTCCATCTTGTACTGCTTTCCCAGGCCATAGCAGAGAGCTGGGTTGGAAGTGGAGCAGCCGGGACTTGATGCGGCACCCATATTTGATGCTGGCACTGCAGGCTTTATCTGCTACACCAAAGCACCAGCCCCGTCTTGCTTTTGTTTAGGTCGACTTCTTAATTTGAGAGCACAGCACTGGGGATCCTGGGATCCTAACTGACACTTCCTGGAATCCTAAATTCACACTGCCTGGTCCTGTGACACACCAGGAACAGAACACAAGAGGAGGTTGTTGTGTGTGGCCTTGAACATTGCTTATTTTGTTAGTGTAACAAAGACAGTCACACACCATTCTTTGTTAGGACTTTGGTCCTCCTTCAAAAAGGCCCTGAGAATGGAGTCTGCATTCAGTCTTGGTACCTTTCTTGCTGAGCAGTCTTCCCTGTAGGTTGGGCTGAAACGACCTATTCTTTCTTGAAAACTTTTTTCCTTTTCAAAGTATTCATTTTTATTTATTTGAAAGGCAGAGTTAGATCTTCCATCTGTTGGCTCACGCCCTAACTGGCCTCCACAGCTGGGGCTGGGCCAGGCTGAAAACAGGATCCAGAAGCTTCTTCCAGGTCTCCCATGTGGGTGAAGGGGTCCAAGAACTTGGGCCATCCTCCATTGCTTTCTCCAGCACATTAGCATGGGGGCTGGATCGGAAGTGGATGGCCAAGACTTGAACAAGCGCCCATGTGGGATGCTGGCATTGCAGGCAGTGGCTTAGCTCATTATGCTGCAGTGCTGGACCCCAATTTTTTTCATATTTATTTGAGAGGCAGTGTGCTCCCCGTCTGCCAATTCACTCCTCAGAGGCTTGCAATGGCCCGTGCTGGGCTGAGGTTAGTGCCAGGAACTGGAAACTTAGTCCAGGTCTCTCAGATGGGCAGCAGGGACCCAGTCACTTAGCTGTTACCACTACCTCCCAGGGTCTGCATCAGCAAGAAACTGGAGGCAGGAGCCAGCTGGGACTGGAACCCAGCTACTCCAGCATGGGATGTGGGTTCCCTAAGTGGCCAAGTGCCCACCCAAGGTAACTGCATGTGCAGACGGGAGTGGGAGTGGGAGTGGGGGCTCAGTGGCGTTGCTCAGGTGTGGCACCAGGGCAGGGTCTCACGCATGTTCTGCTTCCCGTCTCTGTGTTGCAGGTTCTCACCAGAAAACACAGAGCTGCTTACAACTTTAGGGTTACTCTACTTACAGGTGAGAAAGCGCTTCACTCTCCTTCCTGTGTTGGTACTAGAAATGGTGTAGGTGTGTGTGCCTGGTGGTTTTCTTTTATTTCGATAATTAGCGCATTTTAATAAACACCTGAAACACATGAGCCTTGCTGTCTGTGTTTGGTTTTCTTTGATACAAGAATTGATTTTATGCACTCCAAAGAAGAGCAGTTCTGTGTTAGGGTTCTACAATGACAGTTCCTACCCAGTCAAGGAAGGAGCCTGAGGCATCTGCGTGGGCTTGGGCTCCGTCACTGTTGACGGGGCAGCAGTGTCCAGGGCTTGGGCTCCGTCACTGTTGACGGGCAGCAGTGTCCAGGGCTGGGAGACCCCTCTGCTGTTGCTCCTTCCCAGCTAGAGGCTTCTGGGAAAGACAAGGCAAAGTGCCCTCACCTGGAGTGAGGAGTCCCTTCCACATGCCTGCATGGGAGTGGGCTTCTGCCAGCTCTGTCCCTCCACTGCGTAAGCCTCAGGGCCCAGGGGTCCCCGAGGAGCCACCCACCCACCCTCATCAGCCTCCCCAGCTGATGCTGCCCCAGGGTGGCTTTTCTGCTGACAAGGGAATCGGGAGCGTGCCCCAGGTCTCACCGACTTGGCTCGGGGCCCACGGAGAGGAGGCTCAGCAGCTCATCTCGCCCAGCGGCCCTGTGGCCCACGCCGGGAGGCAGAGGCGGTCCCCACAAGCACACTGACCCAGCTGGGGACGTGTTGACAGAATAGAAGAAGAACATGGGGGCTCTTCAGTTTTCTGTGTGTGATACCTGTAGCTTTTTCTCTCCGAAGAGTCAGGATGTTTCTGTCGAGGGTGGAGTGGGCCAGACTCCTTGACTCCGTCTCCCTGCTGACATAAATTCTCTGGTTTGCTTTTTTCTAAGCTTGGCATTTACCAGAAGGCGTTTGAATACCTGGGAAATGCACTGACTTACGACCCTACAAACTACAAGGTACCGCAGGCCGTGAGGCCCCAGAGCCTTCACCCCGATGCTGCCCTGCCCACGGGGCTGGGACGCTGGAGGGCAAGGCACAGCTTCCCGTCTTGCACCCTGAGAACGCAGGCTCTCCTTGAAGAACACGAGAACGGAAAGGTGGCTCTCATGAGGAAGTATTACAAAATGTTGCTGCTCTGCTTCTCACCTTCTACAGAGCACGTTTGGTTTTTCTCCCAGAGTGATGGATGTATTTGAAAGGTAGAGTTAGAGGGAGAGGCTGGGGCAGAGAGAGGTCTTCCATCTGCTCGTTCATCCCCCAAATGGCCGCAGTGGTCAGGGCTGGGCCAGACACGGGGCAGGAGATTCATCCTTGTCTCCCACAAGGGTGCAGCGGCCCAAACACTTGGGCCATTGTCCCCTGCTCGCCCAGGCACATTAGCAGGGAGCTGGTGGGGAGTAGAACAGCTGGGATGCAAACTGGCGCCTGTATGGGATGCTGGTGCTGCAGGTGGCAGCTTTACCAGCTACACCACAGCACCAGCTCTTACAGGGGCCTGCAAAGATGTGAAAACAGGGCCTGTAAGATGGCAGAAGGCAGAACTAGGGGCTGGCAGAGCTGGTGTTCTCAGGAAGTTAGCCAAGCCTCAAAACTACCATCGAAGACAGTTCTCTCAAAAGCACTGTTAGATCCCTGATGAATCCAAGTGTGACTGAGTAAGAAGACCAGGGCCAGCGCTGTGGTGTAGTGAGCCAAGCCTCTGCCTGCAGCACTGGTGTCCTTATGGGCACCAGTTTGTGTCCCAGCAGCTCCACTTCTGATCCAGCTCTCTGCTGTGGCCAGGGGAAGCAGTAGAAGATGGCCCAGATGCTTGGGCACTCACATGCTGCACTCACGTGGGAGACCCAGCGGAGGCTCCTGGCTCTTGGCTTTGGATCAGCTCTGCTGTGGCTGTGGTGGCCATCTGGGGAGTGAACCAGCAGATGGAAAGCGTTTCTCTGTCTCTCCTCCTCTCTCTATCTCCACCTCAAATAAATCAGATCTTAAAAAAAAAAAAGGCCATCAGGTGGTGCGCAGCACTGAGGGTGATGGACAAGCACTGGAGCTCACTAGACACAAGCCCGGTGCAGAGCTGAGCAGTCAGGTTAGCTGGTTGGCTACCTACCTTTCCTTGAGAAATGCAGGGCTGGACTGAGGGAGCCAGGGCAGGCCAGGTTGTCAGGGGCTGCAGAGAACAGAATCGAGGCAGTTTTTACTCTAGGGACCTTGACGTCCTAAAATAAATGGCTTCTCTGGCTAGAAGCTGTGCCTGAGAGCCACAGCGTGGGGTGCAGGGGTGGCCTCGGGTGTTGGCGCCCACAGCTCAGATGTATTGTCCATGTCCCGCCGTCTTTTCTGATGGACCTCCGGGGCAGGGGTGGAGGTGATGGTGACGGTGACGGTGACTGAGCTGTTGCTGTCGTGTGCTGTGTTCGCAGGCCATCCTGGCAGCAGGCAGCATGATGCAGACGCACGGGGACTTTGACGTCGCCCTCACCAAATACAGAGTTGTCGCTTGTGCTGTTCCGGAAAGTCCTCCCCTGTGGAATAACATCGGAATGTGCTTCTTTGGGAAGAAGAAATACGTGGCAGTGAGTGTCCCTGTGTGCATCCTGTTTTCGTCACATACGCGGTTAGCGGGTCTGCTGAGCTCGCCCCTCCTCCTGCAGGCTATCAGCTGCCTGAAACGTGCAAACTACTTGGCTCCGTTTGACTGGAAGATTCTGTACAACCTGGGCCTCGTCCACTTGACCATGCAGCAGTACGCATCGGCTTTCCACTTCCTGAGTGCGGCCATCAACTTCCAGCCGAAGATGGGAGAGCTCTACATGCTCCTGGCCGGTGAGACACGGTCACGTGGACTCCGTGGTCTGGCGGGAGGGGAAATGGATTCAAGTCCTAGAAGGCCCACGCTAAGTCTCTCATGGAAGCTGTCCTCCAGGAGATCCTACAGGACCTGTGGATGCCACCCAGAGACCAACAGCTCAAAGCGGGGTCCTGTCTCATTCGGCTGACCAATTTTCTTCTCTTGGAAAGTTCTAGATAATGAGGGTTACAAGCTTGGGCTTTGTTGTTACCACTTTTAGAAGTCTGTTATCTCTGCTACTGCAGCTTAAGTGCTGGGGTTCCCAGAGTTGGCATCCCAGCTCTTTAAACAGATGATGTCCACCAGTGCTGGGATGGGTCAGGCCAAAGCTGGAGCTAGAAACTCAGTTTCCCATATGGGTGGCAAGGATACAACTCCTGGAGATGTCACCTGCTGCCTCCCAGGGTGCACATCGGCAGGAAGCTGGACCTGGAGCAGAGGCAAGACCTGAACCCCAGGCCCTGTGATAAGGGATGTGGCCATCCCAGGTAGCAGCTTCACCACCAGGCCAAATGCCCACCCCTGAGCTTGGTCTTTGGGTGGCGTCTGCCTTCTTTACTGTGTTTACCCAGGGTCAGCTGAACACTCAGTGAATGTTGAGCTTCATTTATTTGCACAAAAGGCAGAGTGACAGTCTTTCATCCACTGGTTCACTCTAGAAGTGGCTCCCACAGCCAGGTCCGGGCCAGGCTGAAGCCAGGAGCTTGGAACTCCATTCTGAACTCCTACCTGGTGACACCCGGCCGTCTTCCACTGCCTTCCCAGGCGCATCAGCAGGGGTCTGGATTGGAAGCAGAGCAATAAGGACATGAACCGGTGGTCTAATACAGGATGGCGGTGTGAGCCCCCACATGTTGATTTTGTTATGGTCACTTTAGAAAATATTTAGTAGGTTGGGGCTGTGGTACAGTAGGTTAATCTTCTGCCAGTGGCACTGGCATCCCATATGGGCGCCGGTTCAAGTCCCGGCTGCTCCTCTTCAATCCAGCTCTCTGCTGTGGCCTGGGAAAGCAGTGGAAGATGGCCTGAGTCTTTGGGCCCCTGCACCAACATGGGAGTCTGGGAAGAAGCACCCGGCTCCTGGCCTTGGATCGGCGCAGTTCCGGCCGTTGCGGCCACCTGGGGAGTGAACCAACTCTACTTTTCAAATAAATAAAATCTTTATATATATAGAGGCTATACCTTTACAGATGAATTTAATTGAGAGTTCCCATGCAATGTTTCACCTCCCAGATGTCCATGATGGCTGGGGCTGGGCCAGGGATGAAGTTGGGAACGTGACCCGTGTCTCCCACATGGGCAGCAACCACCCAACCACTGGAGCCATCACGTTGCCTCCCAGGGTGTGCATTAGCAGGAAGCTGGACTTCAGAGCTGAGCTGGGAATGGAACCCAGGCCCTGCAGTTTAATGGTTAGGCCCAACAACTGCCCTGCTCTGTCGTCAGTAGTAGTGTTGTGGCAGGGCTGCACTGTTGCACAGCGGGTTAAGCCACCACTTCTGACTCTGGTTTGAGTCCCACCTGGCAAAGCAAAACTGCTTTTCCAGCTCCCTCTTAAAGCACCCGGGAAAGCAGCAGCAGATGGCCCAGGTGCCTGGGTTCCTGCTGTCCACGTGGGGGACCCGCATGGAGTTTCAGGCTCCTGGCTTGAGCCGGGCTCAGCTCCGGCTGTTGGGGGCATTTAGGGAGTGAGCCAGATCTGTCTGTCACTCCTTCACGGAGTGTTGTTATTACAGCTGGTCCCAGTCAGGCTACCTATTGTGGAGACCCTCATTTCTGAGCATGTTGTGTACAATGAGATTCCACCCCTGAAACTAATCTATGCCATACAGACACAAAAACAAGCTAGACCAATCAGTGTAGTATCCTGGTTATTATAGTGAGGGGAACCAGCGAGGCCTCTTTGGTAAGATGGGGTGTGGTCAGGTGCATCAGTGAGAACCTAGTGACACTGTGCAAGGTGGAATGGAAGCAGGTGGGTCACTGCCACTGGGGAAGTGTAGAGCTTAAACCAGGGCATTACAGGGCGGGGTGCACAGAGCCTGGCAGCTGTCGGGCTGTGGTAGGGGACTGTTGACGGCACCAGGTATTCAGGGCTGTGCACACGTTGTGCTGAGCTGAGGTGGTACAAGAGTTGAATTGGGAGGGGCCTTGGAATCGTGTGTGTGTGTGTGTGTGTACCTTTTTTTTTTTTAAATTCATTTGAGATGCAGAGCTACAGCGAGAGAAAAGGAGAGACAGAGCGAACGTCTATCCACTGGTTCACTCCCTAAATGGCCACAGCAGCCATTGCTAAGCTGATTGGGAGCTGGGAGCTTCCTCTGGGTCTCCTACATGGGTACAGGGACCCAAGGACTTGTGCCCTCCTCTGCTGTCTTCGCAGGCCATTAGCAGAGAGCTGGATTGGAAGCAGAGCAGCCGGGACTCTGGTGCTGCAGGTGGAGGTTTAACCCACCACAGCCCAGCGCTGGCCCCACGATTCTAAGCTGCAGCCCACAATCTGTTTGTTGTAGTGGCCCTGACCAATCTGGAGGATATAGAGAACGCCAAGAGAGCCTACGCAGAGGCCGTCCGCCTGGATCAGTGAGTGCCCTGCCAGGGCGCAGCAGGGGGGCATGGGCTCACAGGGCGGGTCACCAGGCTGTTCTCCAGCCTCTGTACACAGCAGGCTCCAGTGTGGAAGGATGGTTCCCAAGGTCGGAGTGGACACTGCTCCTGAGAAGGTGTCCAGGCCTGTGTGTAGTGGTCAGAGCTGGCAGCAGGCTTGGGCTGCTGATGGCTGGATGTCACACGGGGGCTCTGGGCTGTCTGGGACACTGCTAGAGAGCAGCCCTGCCGTGGTGGCCTCTGAGGGCTGAGATGTCAGACTTGGTGCGGACACCTGCTTTGCTGGTGGGCAGTTACTTCTGTCATTCCTCTCCACAGGTCCACACAACACTTGGGTCCCATCTTGCTGCAGGATGGAAAAACTTCCACTTAATCAGTTTTGTTTTGTTTTTGTGTGAGAAGCATTTGTAAGTGACCATTTGTTGCAAGCTGCAGGCCACAGACTCCATGTGTCTGCCACAGGTGTAACCCTTTGGTAAACCTGAACTATGCCGTGCTGCTGTACAACCAGGGCGAGAAGAGGGGCGCGCTGGCCCAGTACCAGGAGCTGGAGAAGAAAGCCCGCCTCCTCAAGGACAGCGGCTCTCTGGAGATTGACTCAGAGGTATGGCTCTCAGAGGCTCCCTGCAAGCTGCAGGAGACTTAGGTCAAGCCCAAACCACCCGACGTTAAGGGCTTGTAAGCTCTTGGCTCTGTGGGTTCTTTTCTTTCTATTTGAAAGTCATAGTTACACAGAGAAGGAGAGGCAGTAATTACTTGAGAGGAGTACTCCTGGAAGAAATCAGAATTCTGGCTTGTCCTCTCCTGTTGCGGGTGCAACCCAGGAGTCGGGTCTGTGTCTCTGGGCCGTGTTTGCAGCTCCACTGTGCGCCGGCTCGAGCTGTCACTTTTCACTGAAGGCAGCCTGTGCTTCTGCTGAGTGACAACGACTCCCTGCGTCGTGTTGGAACCCACCGCACTCCTGCTGGGAGGCTGGGGAGAGGGGTTGGCTCATCTCGGCTAGTCACGTCTGACTCTCTTCTCTCTCTGTCGGGACACAAGATGGTGGAGATGGCTCAGAAGTTGGGAGCTGCTCTCCAGGTGGGGGAGGCCCTGGTCTGGACTAAACCAGTCAAAGACCCCAAGTCAAAGCACCGCAGCCCCTCGAGCAGCAAGCCCGCCGGTCTGCAGCAGCCTCTGGGCTCCAACCAGGCTCTCGGGCAGGCGATGTCTTCAGCAGCTGCGTACAGGACGCTCCCTTCAGGTAGGAGGCTACCCAGAGCTCCAGGAAGACTGCGTGGGTGCGAGCCCCCGTGCCAGCAGATCAGATTGGAGCGGGAGGCTGGCCCCTGCACATCCAGTGTCGCACTGGCTTCCTCAGGGCCAGCCGTGCAGGACACTGCCAAGGACACTGTTAGCCGGGGTGCTGGCAGTCGGCGTCTCAGCAGCTGTGACTGTTGCTGTTAGTTTCCTGCGCAGCTGCAGTTGCCGGACTTGCTGCTGACACTGAGAGTGGGGCTCCGGCCTCAAGCGTGCGTACCATCTGTTCTGCCCTAGGTGCTGGAGGCGCAGCCCCGCTCCCAAAGCCGCCTTCGCTTCCTCTGGAGCCAGAGCCTGCTGCGGAAGCAAGTCCAACAGAAGCGCTGGAACAGCGGAGCGAAAAATAGCGAGGAGGACCCCAGAGTCAGGAGTTCTTAGGTATCTGAGGATGGCCCCAGTTAGCAAAGGCCAGGTAGCGGCAGGCATCACAGAATTAGAACGTGGAATGCAGGAGTGCCAGTGACCCCACGGAGCCTGGAAAGGAGCCTAAGGCACGACTGTGCAGCCCCCCAGGCCCTCAGCCAGAAACAGGAGAAGAGTGACCCTGTCCCCTCGAGAACACAGGACGCGGCCTGGGTCTGAAAGGCTGGCTGAGCCCTCCCTTGTGCAGGGAGGGCGGGGACACTGCGCGGCGGCTCGCGATGGTGAGGCCTGGGGAAGGTGCGATTCTCTGAATTCAAGAGGAAGCCGGGGAGAGCTCCGGGCGCTCGCCGGACGGGATCTGGAGCAGGTCCCTGTGTGACGTCGGTGCGCAGCCAGATCATGTCAGTGTGCGAAGCAGGAGCCCACGGCTGCTCTGCTGTCAGCTCTGAGGATTGGAAAAAAATAGGGAAGCACCTGCTAGCCAAGGAGTTGATAAAGGTAACTGTTTTCTCTCTAGATTATGTATGAACATTCCTTTGAGGAAAGTTGTACCTGAATAAAGGAATAAATGAGACCACAATAAAAACTTTAGAAAGCGACGGTCCCTGTCTTCTCTTACCTGTTTGCGGGGCTAGTCTGAAACGAAGAGACCTTGAGGGCAGGGGTGGCCTCCCGGCCGCTCACTGATGGGCCAGTGCTCGTGCGTCACAGTTCCCCAGCACCGATCCAGTTACTGAAACTGAAAGGTCACTGATGAGGTCTCAGCGGTAGCAGGGCTGTAGGCTGAGACTTGGAGAGGAAGAGGAGGGTTAAAGAAGAGGAGCTAAAATCAACAGCAGTGAGGCCAGAGCTGGGTGCCTGGGGAGAGGAATCGGGTGGGAGTGGAGGTGTCCTGGTGGCTGGGTTCAGTCGACTGTGAAGTCTGGTTGTGGGACACGGTCATCTTTAAGATGTCCAAATGGTGACAGCCATTCCAATTTCAGACGTGAAGACACAGATCCTTGGATGACAGCTAAAACCGTGTGTTTGGACGTAGCTGTCAGAGGAAAGCCGGCACTAAGGAGGCAGAGAAGTGAAGGGGGGAAAGGGGAGAGAAGCAGGTGACTGAGAGAAAGCCGAGGAGGCTGGGGTGTGCAAGGCAGCCCCCCCCCCCAACACATTTGGCCTCACAGAACCCTTGCAAAGGAGAAAGAGGCTCTGTTACCCCTTCCGCAATGGAGGGAGGGAGTGGCCATGCGTGTGAGGCGAAGCGTTCGTAGCTATGAGGATTTGAACCCAGGGCTAGACACAGCCCTTGCTCCCGAGCCGTGCGTCACTGCAGTGGTGCACCCACCTGGGTGGTGACAGGAACGGTGCTCGCAGACGGACGTGGAAACTGAAGTGGAAGGAAGGCGTCTTTTGAGGGGGCAGAACTGAATTCACTGTCAGAGAAGATCTCAATCCTTGGGAAGAGATGAGTAGTGAGAGCATAGCAAAAATAGTGCACGGCAGGGCTGCGGGGCTTCACGTACTTCGGGGGGCGAGACGGTACCTTGCATTCAGTGAAGAAGATAGCCCAGGGCCGTGCTGTGGCCCAGCAGGTTATGCGCCCTCTGGATGCTGGCATCCCATGTGGGCACCATGTCAAGCCCCGGCTGCTCCACTTCCAGTCCAGCTCCCTGCTCATGGCTTGGGAAAGCACCAGAAGATGGCCCCCACAGCCCACGTGTGAGACCTGGATGGAGTTCCAGGCTCCTGGCTTCAGACTGGCCTTTGTGGCCACTTGAGTGAACCATCGGTTAGAAGATTGATTCTGGAGCCAGTGCTGTGGCACAGTGGGTTAACACCCTGGCCTGAAGCACCGGCATCCCATAATGGGCACCAGTTCGAGACCTGGCTTCTCCACTTCCCATCCAGCTCTCTGCTATGGCCTGGGAGAGCAGTAGAAGATGGCCCAAGTCCTTGGGCCCCCGCACCTGTGTGGGAAACCTGGAGGAAGCTCCTGGCTCCTGGCTCCGGAATGGCCCAGCTCCGGCTGTTGCAGCCAGTTGAAAGTGAGCCAGTAGATGGAATCAATCAATCAATCAATCAATCTCTCTCTCTGTAACTCTGACTTTCAAGTGAATAAATAAATAAATCTTAAAAAAAAAATTCTGTCTCTGCCTTTCAAAATCAATAAAAAAAAAAAACCCAACACCCCCACCCCAATACACACCTGGTGTTTTGGGTGTGTAGACTTGCAGTTTCTCGTTCACTCCGGGGAGAAAGGAGCTGCTTTAATTTCTTGCATGGGGGTTGGGCAGGCCATCAGTTTTCACAGAATTAGGAAAATGAGAGCGTGTACGCAGTCACAGATACAGAAACCAGAGACAGAAAAGTAAAAACAGGAACAAGCAATGGGGGAAAAGTGCCCTTACTGTAAAACTGCATTCCAAAGATGGTCAGGTGTTACTGAGGAAAATTACTGTAATGGCAGAGCAGGTTTGTGCTGGACCAGCTGTCCCACCAATTCTACAGACAAGCAACAAAACAGTACACCACGAGACTGAACATGCAGAGGGGCAGCTCAGAGGGACGAGGGCTGCGTGGCATGGTGTGCTCTCACGGGGACAGAGCTAGCCCTCCGGCGTCCGCACGGTGTGGGAAGCCCTTACCCCACAGCAGCCAGCACACCTGTCAGAGGCGGACTGCTGAACACACAGGAGGGACATTAGCACGAAGGAGTCTCCTTCCCGAAAACAGCAGGGAGAGGGAAAAGGTCCACCACCGAGAAACCCAGGTGGAACAGCCGGCAAGCGAAACGGCAAGCGAAAGCCGTACCACAGCAATAGTTAATCACTGAGCTTCACTGTTCCGATTCAAAGGCAGCAGAGAGTGGAAAGGTAAAGCCCAGGCTCTCACCACCGACAGGGCGGAGCGGACGCACCGCACACGCTCCAGGCCTAAGGAGTCCGCAGGGCTCAGGCTGCAGCAGCAACAGCTGACGCCGGGGCAGGAGTCTCACAGGAAACAGGCTCACGTCACAACCATCAAGAGGCCAAGTTCCTGGAAAAACAATTCAGAAACATGAAAACGGACAGAACTAAGTCCACTGTCACACTGGGATAGATGAGTACTAACACCTCCTCTTCTAGCAATTCACACAATTCCTACGAACCACCCTGACCTAACATTTACAGAGCAGCAGTAATCCCAGAACAGGTTGTGAGAGGGAGAGATCTCCCATCCGTTAGTTCACTCCAGGCCAAAACCAGGAGCCTGCAAGTTCATCCAGGCCTCCCACATCAGGCGCATTAGCAGGGAGCTGAAGCGGCATTGGTGCAGCCAGGACTTGTGTTGCAAGTGGAAGCCTAACTGTGCCACAACGCCATTCCCTGGAACACGCATTCTGTAAGTACACGCAGCACTCTTCAAGACAGACCATGTGCTGGACTGGCATCGTGACACACTGAGCTAAGCTGCTGCCTGCAATGCTGGCATCGCATGCCAGAGTGCCAGTTAGAATATCGGCTGCGGCCGGCGCTGTGGCTCACTTGGCTAATCCTCCGCCTGCGGCGCTGGCATCCCGGGTTCTAGTCCTGGTTGGGGCGCCGGATTCTGTCCCGGTTGCCCCTCTTCCAGGCCAGCTCTCTGCTGTGGCCCGGGAATGCAGTGGAGGATGGCCCAGGTGCTTGGGCCCTGCACCCCATGGGAGACCAGGATAAGCACCTGGCTCCTGGCTTTGGATCAGTGCGGTGTGCCGGCTGCAGCAGCCATTTGGAGGGTGAACCAATGGAAAAGGAAGACCTTTCTCTCTCTGTCTAGCTCTGCCTGTCCAAAAAAAAAGAATCTCTGCTGCTCCACTTCTGTCCAGCTCTCTGCCAAAGTGCCTAAGGTGGCAGTGGAGGGTGGCCCAAGTACCTGGGCTATGCCACCCATGTAGGCGACCTGCATGTACCTCTGGGCTCCCAGCTCCGGCCTGCCCTAGCCCCAGCCACTGGGGCCACTTGGGGAGTGAACCAGGTGGATGGAAGATCTGTCACTCTACCTTTCAAATACATAAAATCTTAAAAAAATTGAAATCTATACAATTTCTTCTCTGACCACAATGAAATTATAGTAGATACTAATATCTATAAATTCCATAAGCATTTCGAAATTAAATACGCAAAAGCTTATGAGTAAAGGAAAAAATATGAAAAATCAAAATATTTTGAACTAATAATGAAAACATTTGTAGGATTCAGCTAACAGCTGTGCTCAGAGGAGAAATGTTAGTGGTGTGTGCTTCTATTAGAAAAGAAATCAACGTGCTAGGTTTCCACCTTAAGCTAGAAAAAGAAGAGAAAGATAAACCCAAGTTAGGTAGAAGAAAAACACCAAGACTAGAAAGGTCCAAATTAGGGGCTGGCGCTGTGGTGTGGTAGGCTGTGCAGTGCTGGCATCTCATACGGGTGCTGGTTTGTGTCCTGGCTGCTCCACTTCCAATCCAGCTCCCTGCTGTGGCCTGGGAAAGCAGTGGAGGGTGGCCCAAGTCCTTGGGCTGCTGCACCTGCTTGGGAGACCTGGAAGAAGCTCCTGGCTCCTGGCTTTGGGTTGGACCAGTTCTGGGTATTTCTGCCATTTGGGGAGTGAACCAGCAGATGGAAGACCTCTCTCTCTGCCTTTGACTCTGTATAATTTCAAATATATAAATAAACTTAAAAAAAAGAGTTCAAGTTACTGAAGGGAAAGAGGCGGGCACTGTGACACTGACACAGAGGGTTAAGCAGCCACCTGCATCCCATATCTGAGTGCTTGGTTTGCTTCTGATCCAGGTTCCCCCTGATGTGCGTCCTGGAGGCAGCAGGTCCTTGTCACACACACGGCTTCAGCACAGCCACACTGGGGCACTGTGGGCATTCAGGGAGCGAGCCAGCCGGTGGGAATGCTTTCTGTCCCTTGCTTTCAAACAAAAATAACTGAATAGAGAGATTGCAAAGCAAGGAAAGTACAGAGGATTATCCTGCAGGAACACAGGCCCAGAAATCAACTAACAAATCAAATCCTGCAGCATGAAGAAATGATCAGGTAGAGGTTATCCCAGGATTTCACGCTTGGTGTAACACCTGAAAACCAAAGTAGCCAAATGAGCTAATAAGAGAGAAAGGTTACTGATTTCAATATCCGAAAATTTTCCTAAAAAGCCATCATGAAAAGGCTGCTACAGACCTGTTATCTAGAATATGTCAACTGAGCAGCAGACCGGACATCCACCTCAACAGAGGCAGCACCTGGAGGTTGCTCCGCAGCCCTTGTCATCTAAGGCACCACGCGCACCGCTGGAATGGCCAGAGCGCTGACGCCACACACAGTCTCACTGCTGGCCCAAGTGCAAAGCTGCCCACGATCTAGCAACTGCACACCTGGGTGCTCACCCAGGTTGGAAATTTATGTCCACATGTGTGCTGATGGCAGCTTCGTTCACAACTACCTAAACTTGGAGGCAACCAAACTGTCCTTCAGAAAGTGAGTGGAGGAATAAACTGGTCCATCCAGACAGAGAAGTGCTGGTGTTACTCAGCCTGGCAAAAACTGAGCCACCAAGCCACCAAGCCATGGGAGGAGGCGGAGGAGGCCCAGGTGCTGCTACTAAGTGGGAGAAACAGCTGCACCCTACTGAACTGCAGTGGCAGCCCTCCCTGGAGATGGTAACAGGACCAGGGCTTGGGGCGGACCAGGGCGCCCACGGGGGCTGAGGGGGTAATGCCCAGTGTGGCACCACAGGAGGCCGTGCCTGTCAGCACCCACCTGTCACACCACACAATGTCCAAGGCGGGGCGGGGGAGAGGAGGGTGCCACAGGCACTGGGTGGTGACAGGGTGTCAGTGCAGGCTCATCAACAGTAGCACGCCTGCCACTCTGGTGGGGCTGCTGATGTGGAGGTGGCCATGTGCCGGGCAGTGGGGACCTGGGGAAATGCGTGCCTCCCTCTGGATCCAGCTGCTCTAGGTGTCGTGGTGCAGCCGGTGGTTCCTGTTCCGGCTGCTCCATTTCCGATCCAGCTCTCTGCTAATGTGTCTGTGAAGGCAGAAGATGATCCAAATGCTTGGGCCCCTGCACCCTTGTGGGAGACCCAGACGGAGCTCTGGGCATCTGGCATTGGTGTGGCCCAGCCACAGCGATTGTGGCCATTTGGGCAGTGAATCGGCATTGAAAGATCTCTAACTGCCTTTCAAATAAATAAATAAATCCCTTTTTAAAACAAATATTTATTTAATTATTCATTTGAAAAGCTGAGTTAGAGAGAGACAAGAGGTCTTCCATCTGCTGGTTCACTCCCCAAATGGCCGCCATGACCAGGGCTGGACCCGGCCGAAGCCAGGAGCTTCCTTTAGGTCTTGACTCATAAATCATATTATTTTAGTCTGTTATTTTTGTCTCTGAGCGGGATTCTCAGTCTGGAGTGGTGTTTCTCAGACTGGTGGTTATGTTTCCTTGGTATGATATATATGCATTAAGCTCTAGAACAGGCCTAGTAGCACTGAGATGTCAGATTACCAGTTAAGGTAGGTGATCAGAGATACAACTGGGCCGAAGCTTAGCCCTACTTACCTTTTATCTCCCCAGGTTTCGAGGTGACTCAACTATGGCTAGCTGTACATCTGCTCCCGTGGAGACTGCCTTAGCATCTATACTTAAAGACTGGGAGGCCCTCAAGCTAGATGGCATTACCACGGAAAGCATGATTACTCTTTGTAATACCGTATGGCCCACCTATTGGTTGGGAAGTGGTGCAACATGGCCAGTAAATGGGACTCCTAGTTTCGATGACATTTCAGAACTCGACTTGTATTGCAGAAGCCAGCAAAAATGGTCAGAGGTTCCTTATGTACAGGCCTTTATGGCATTATATCGCCAACATCATCCTAAAAAGAGGGTTGGTCTATACCCTGCCTTTGCTACCAAAAAGGAGGATAAGCAGCCAGTGGGTATGATTGATGCTCCATTACTGGTGAGCCCACAGCTCCCGGTCTCAACCTGCGACAGCACCAGAGTCGCCCAGAAAGATGCTGGGTCCCCTTCCAGTCCTTCCAAGTCTAACCTGATGCCTACTGCCCCACGACCTCCTCCCTTAACCTTCCCACTCTGCCATGCCAGGGTAGCCCAGCTGGGATTACCAGGAGTGAAGTTGCCAGTGAACGGGGACAAGTAGAATTCTGTTCCCTCTACCCTGATTTAAACCTTTGTAAGGAGAAAATGGGGAGGTTCCAGAAGACCCCTCCAGGTTCGCTGATGAGTTCCGGGCCCTACCCTTAGCTGATGATCTTAACTGGGATGACATACATCTCATCTTGTCTACGTGTTGCACTGCTGAAGAGACACAGCGTATTTGGACAGACACTCAAAGACATGCTGATGAGATGTCAGTCCAGTATCCAGACAGCTTTGTCGTGGGGGCCTCAGCAGTCCCACATAGTGCACCAGAGTGGACTCATCACAAAGGGAGTCAGGCTCACAGCCACGAGGCCACATGGTCTCATGCTTGCTGGCAGGGATGAGGACCCGCAGTGTAAAATCTATAGATTATGAAAAGATCAAAGAGGTAGTGCAAGGTCCAAATGAGAATCCAGCTATGTTCCAGGGACGACTGGCAGAAGCAGTGAGGAAATATACCAGGGTAGCCCCTGAGTCTCCAAAGGACTGGTTTACCTTGGTACCTATTTCATTTCACAATCAACACCAAATGTTAGCAAAAAGCTTCAGGAATTGGCCGTGGGACCCCAAACCCCCATAATCCAGATGTTCGAAGTAGCATTTCAAATGTTTAACAATAGGGATGAGGTGGAGGAGACAGCGCCCCAGCACGGGGAGCAGGCCGGACCACAGGCTCATCAGATGGCGATGGCTGAACCTCGCTCGCCGCAACCTCGGAGTCAGCCCAGGGGAAGTCCTGTGATGGCAGGGAGGTGCTACAGCTGTGATCAACGAGGACCCTTGAAGAAGGAGTGTCTTCTTCCCGAGCTCCCCCCCAGGAAATGTCCCCAGTGCAACAGGACCGGCCACTGGAGAAGGGACTGTCCTCTTCTCCGAAGGGAGAGGGGTCTCCCGCTCCACTTATGGCTTCCTCTGAACAGTGATGGGGCCTGCGGACCTTGAAGGCTCCTGAGGAGGTTAACATCTCGCACCAAGAGCCCCGGGTGACCACTGAGGTTGCAGGTGAGCCTGTTAATTTTTTAATTGACACAGGAGCCACTTCCCATGCTGGACCACTTTCCCTTAAGAGCTGCACTGTCGTGGGGGCTGATGGGACGCCTCGATCCGAGATTCACCTTACCCCTAGTGTGGCAGATGGCAGATGTGCTGGCTGCGCACCACTTCTTAGTTATGTCAGAGTGCCCAGCTCCCTTATTTGGAAGGGACTTATTGTCGTCCCTTGGAGCCTCTTTGAGGTTACCTTCCCTGACATCTAAGACATTCATTATGATACTGGCAACTACTGAAGCGAGTCCTAGTTTAGATACTATCCCTGCTGAAATAAAGGAAAGAACAGATCCCCAAGTCTGAGATCAGGGAATTCCCGGGCGGGCCATATAGGCATTTCCTCATCAACGCCAGTATCTGATGAAATCAGAAACTAGAAAGGGACTCCAGCACTTAACTAAAAAGGTTTTCAAACATGCACTTCGGGTGCCTTGTCGGTCCCGCTGTGACACCCCCATCCTGCCAGTCGTAAAGCCCAGTAGAGAATATAGGGTGGTCCAGACCTCAGAGCAGTCAGTGAGGAAGTTGCTCCACTCCGTCCCATTGTGCCAAATCCTTCTACGATATGGACACAACTACCTGAGGGGACCTCCTGGTACACAGTGTTGGACCTAAAGGACGCCTTCTTTTGTAATCCATTGAGCTCAGAATCCCAGTTTTTATTTGCCTTTGAATGGACTGACCCAGTCTCCAGGATAATTCAGCAGTATACATGGACTGTCCTCCCCCAGGGGTATCGGGACAGCCCTCACCTGTTTGTAATGCACTTGCAAAAGAACAGGGAAGTGCAACTAAAGAGTGGGGCGATTTTACAGTATGTGGATGATATTCTCATCCGTAGCCCCTCTCAAGAGGACTCAGATGAAAACACCATCCAGGTTTTAAACTTCCTAGCTAAATGAGGGTACAAAGTTTCTCTTGCGAAGGCCCAAATTTCCAAACAGGAGGTGGATTACCTGGGGTGCTTCCTAGCTCTAGGGAAACGGACCATCTTAGTCAAAAGGAAGCTATTTTATGTATAGGGCCACCACAGACAAAAAAGCAACTCAGGGCATTTTTGGGAATGGCAGGATTCTGTAGAATATAGGTCTCAGGATTCGGGTTGACAGCCAAACCCTTGTATGAGGCCTTAAAAGGCCCTGATGTAGACCCACCTGCTGGATGGGAAAGCTACAGAAGTCATTCCAAAGAATTAAAGAGCTTTTAACAGAAGTCCCAGCACTAGGGATTCCTATTCTGAGCAGGCCGTTTGCCCTGTTCAGAGCAGAAAAATAAGGGGTGATTTTGGGAGTACTAACCCACAAATTGGGTCCACTCCCACGGCCAGTGGCTTACTTCTCAAAATAGCTAGATTCAGCAGCTGCTAGATGGCTTGTGTGTTTAACAGCAGTTGCTGCTACTGCACTACTGGTGGAGGAAGCCACCAAAATGACCTTAGGTCAGCCCCTTGAAGTTAAAACTCCACACAAGTGCAAGGGGTCTTGGAAATTAAAGGACATGGGGCCAGCACCGTGGCTCACTTGGTTAATCCTCCGCCTGCGGTGCCAGCATCCCACGTGGGCTGGTTCTAGTCCCGGCTGCTCCTCTTCTGGTCCAGCTCTCTGTTGTGCAGGAAGGCAGTGGAGGATGGCCCAAGTGCTTAGGCCCCTGTGCCTGCATGGGAGGCCAGGAAGAAGCACCTGGCTCCTGGCTTTGGATCAGCGCAGTTCCGGCCGTAGCAGCCATTTTGGGGGGTGAACCAATGGAGGGAGGACCTTTCTCTCTGTCTCGCTCTCTCTGTCCGAATTCCACCTGTCAAATAAATAAAAAAAAAAAAAAGAAAGAAATTAAAGGAAACCAATGGCTGACAGGAGGGCGCCTCACAAGATATCAAGCCCTATTGTTAGACTCACCTAAAATAACCCTTAAGGTGTGTCAGGTCCTCAACCCAGCGACTTTGTTGCCATCTGACAATGCTGGAGCGTTGACCCATTCCTGTGTAGAAACTATAGACCAGGCCAGACCTACGAGATGAGCCCTTGGAAAATCAGATGCTGAATGGTTTACAGATGGCAGCAGCTATATGAAGGAAGGAGTTAGGAAGTCAGGCTATGCCGTACTGGATCTTACTCAGACAACAGAAGCCCAAGCTCTACCGCCCAATACTTCAGCCCAAAAGGCGGAGCTTACTGCATTGACTAGGGCTCTACAACTGGGAAAAGGCCAGCGAGTTACCATATATACGGATTCCAGATATGCTTTGCTTGTGTTACATGCACAGGCAGCAATCTGGAAAGAGAGGGGCTTACTGACTGCCAAGAATTCCCCGGTTAAATATGGAAGAGATACTGGCTCTACTTCAGACACCCTCTTTGATTCAGAGGTCAAGATCAGATAAAGTACATTATCAACTAGACCAGATACAGAAGGCTCTGGTCAAGTATGGCAACAAGGTCCTTCCGGCGCCAGACCCTGAAGCTCATGAGAAGCCCATCTCCCCAGGAGACCTGGTTTTATTAAAGACCTGGAAGGAAGGGTCTCCCTCAGACCAGTTACAGCCCCAGTGGAAGGGTACTTACTGGGTACTGCTGAGCATACCTACTGTGGTGGAATGAGAAGGCCATGCCAAGATGGCTGCTGGCAAGCGAGCATTGGTTACTCAGGAATGGTTTTGGAACCCACCTGGCAAAGGAGCCTGTCTGGCAACAGGCAGTGATTGGTTAGGGCATAAACCGCCCCTTGACCGGATTGGCTGCCTCGGCTATATAAGCTGCTGTACCAACTGAAATAAAGGAGTCTGAAGGCTGCTCGCTTCTGGCCCGCATTCACCCGACTCCCAGTGTCTGTGTGGTGACTCTGTGCCTCTTGCCCCCACCGTGCTCCTCCTCTCAGAACGAATCCACAGCAACAGCCTACTTCTGTAAAATCACAGGGAATTCCAAGCTGGGTACATCTGTCAACGATTAAATCTCTACCTCTTGAGTCTCCACAGGTAGATCTAAAGTACCCCTTCGAGGCCGGCACCGCAGCTCACTAGGCTAATCCTCCGCCTTGCGGCGCCGGCACACTGGGTTCTAGTCCCGGTCGGGGCGCCGGATTCTGTCTCGGTTGCCCCTCTTCCAGGCCAGCTCTCTGCTGTGGCCCGGGAGTGCAGTGGAGGATGGCCCAAGTGCTTGGGCCCTGCACCCCATGGGAGACCAGGAGAAGTACCTGGCTCCTGGCTTCGGATCAGCGCGGTGCGCCGGCCGCAGCGCGCTGGCCGTGGCGGCCATTGGAGGGTGAACCAACGGCAAAGGAAGACCTTTCTCTCTGTCTCTCTCACTATCCACTCTGCCTGTCAAGAATATTATAATAACAAAGTACCCCTTCAAAAGGCAAAATGATAAGTAAAACTCTTGTCCTAGCCACGTTGAAATGCTACACCTCAGTGCCTACTTGGTATACATACCTCTTTTGATTCTTTCTGGGTGCTATTATTGGCATAAGGACTCCTTAGCAGGTTCCTTAACGGTAAGAGTGACAGCCTGGAAGAGTTTTCAAAACCGACTTGAAGAACCTGACCTCAGCTCTCGGTAATCTGGCCTACACTTCAGGACGGCTTCTACAGCAAGCTCTGATCTCAGTAGACTCCCTGTCCAGGGTAGTTATGGACAACAGACAGGCCCTAGAGTTCATGTTAATAGAACAACGGGGCAATCAATGGGATCTGCCACCTTTACTCAAATAATAGTATGTTCACAGAGAAGGACATTAAAACCCTCTATGCTCAAGCTAAATGGTTTTATAGTTTGCATAGGGGTAATCTCTTACCACCTACTGTCTGAGAGATGGCTAGACATGATTTTTCCATTTTAAGGGGCGCACCAGTCGTGCTTGGGGTTATTCCAATTTTACTCATGGTGACTGACAAACATACGTTTCAGAACCCAGCAACTTCTGAGAGTAATGATGACCATGCAGCGGACACAGACGTTGGAGATGACTGAAAGAGCTCCAGCTCACGAAACTAACTCATTAGATGAGATAGGCAGAGACTTTCGGACTGAGAACAGGCAGGGCCTGTGCCCCTAGTAAGCAGGAAGCAGCTACACAAGATGGTGACTCGACACCCATCAACACCCCCTTAAGATTAAGGTCTGGAGTCTCTGAGGAGGGAATGAAGTAGGCAGGCATATAGCCTAAAACTGATTAGGTTTGTGAGCTGGAAGACCATGCCTTCGCCACACCCCTGTGTGACATCATGCCCTACCTGACCATACTTAAGCGCCCACCTGCCCACTAGACCATGTAACCACTCCCCTGTGAGAAATGTATAAAAGGCAAGGAGTGCCCCAAAAGGCACTCATGCTGCCTCTGCTTCGCTGCCTGATAAGTGGTGGATAGCAGCTCAAGGCGCTTGCTGCACGTGGCTTTTGCCCTGCTCTCTGCTTGGTAGGGACACTACCCTCATTTCCAGATTTTCCCTTCTCTTTAAACTGAACTAAAGCCCTCACTTTCCTATGCACCTTTCGCACTAAATAAAAGCTTAAAATGTACCATGATGCTTCGTTCATTTATGCCGGTATTTAGAATTCTTCTCTAAATATTAGGCAAGAACTCACTCAGGCTTATTAATATTGGGGACTAATAAGCATATGGTAATATCTTATGGCACCCAAAATTCCAATAACATATGTGGCATCCCAGGGGCCAGGGCCATGGTGCATTAGGTTAATTCTCCACCTGCGGCGCCAGCATCCCATATGGTTGCTGGTTCTAGTCCCGGCTGCCCCTCTTCCAGTCCAACTCTCTGCTATGGCCTGGAAAAGCAGAAGATTGCCCAAGTTTGGGCCCCTGCACCTACGTGGGAGACCAGGAAGAGGCGCATGACTCCTGGCTTTGGATCAGCGCAGCTCTGGCTGTTGCAGCCATTTGGGGAGTCAACCAACGAAAGGAAGACCTTTCTCTCTGTCTCTCATTGTTTGTAAATCTACCTGTCAAATAAATAAAGTCTTTTTTTTTTTTTAATTTTTTGACAGGCAGAGTGGACAGTGAGAGAGAGAGACAGAGAAAAAGGTCTTCCTTTTGCCGTTGGTTCACCCTCCAATGGCTGCCGTGGCCGGCGCGCTGCGGCCGGCGCACTGCGCTGATCCGGTGGCAGGAGCCAGGAGCCAGGAGCCAGGTGCTTTTCCTGGTCTCCCGTGGGGTACAGGGCCCAAGCACTTGGGCCATCCTCCACTGCACTCCCGGGCCACAGCAGAGAGCTGGCCTGGAAGAGGGGCAACCGGGACAGAATCCGGCACCCCGACCGGGACTAGAACCTGGTGTGCCAGCGCCGCTAGGCGGAGGATTAGCCTAGTGAGCCGCGGCGCCGGCAATAAATAAAGTCTTAAAAAAAAATGTGGCACCCCAGACTTGACTTCTGGGGAACTCTAAGAGGCCACATTCCAATACATTTTTAAGGGGTCAATTCTGTTATCAGATGCAGGGGCCCAAGGACTTGGCCTGTCCTCCACTGCTCTCGCAGGCCATAGCAGAGGGCTGGATCAGAAGTGAAGCAGGTGGGACTCAATCTGGTGCCCATATGGGATGCTGGTATCGCAGATGGCAGCTTTACCAAGACACTCACAGGCCTAATAAGAAAATGTTAAAAAAAAAAAAAAAACTACTCTAAAAAATGTTTTAAAAGTTTTCACAAAAACAGAACATCAGGAATAGATGAAGAGCATTACCAACCTGATAAAGAGCATGTAAGGCAAAACAAAACAAAATGAAAGCCACCAAAACCCAAACAATGCAACGGATCTCCCCACGCTGAGTAGGGAGGTGAGGCAGGAGTGTTTTTCTCACTCTCGCTACCTCAATTCAACCACGTGCTGGCGCAGAGTCCCAGCCAGCCAGAAGTGGCCACAGAAAAGGCATGAAGGTGAGAAAGGGACGGCATGGTTGCTCCTGCTAAGACCCTAAGGGACCCTAGAAGTCAGTAACTATGCCAGCAAGTGGATCCGGCAAGGCTGCAAGATACAAGGTCAGCGTACAGAAATCATTTATGTTTTGTACACTAGCGGGGAACAATCTGAAAGTGAGATTCTCCTGTAACCGTGTCAGGTACTACTGATGTAACATCTTAGGAGTGAATTTTTTTTTTGAATTAATTAATTAATTTTTTTTTTGACAGGCAGAGTGGACAGTGAGAGAGAGAGACAGAGAGAAAGGTCTTCCTTTGCTGTTGGTTCACCCTTCAATGGCCGCCGCGGCCGGCGCACCGCGCTGATCCAATGGCAGGAGCCAGGAGCCAGGTGCTTTTCCTGGTCTCCCATGGGGTGCAGGGCCCAAGCACCTGGGCCATCCTCCACTGCACTCCCTGGCCACAGCAGAGGGCTGGCCTGGAAGAGGGGCAACCGGGACAGAATCTGGCGCCCCGACCGGGACTAGAACCCGGTGTGCCGGTGCCGCTAGGTGGAGGATTAGCCTAGTGAGCCACGGCGCCGGCCCAGGAGTGAATTTAACAGAATCCATGTGTGACCTCTACCGAAGGCAGAACAGCACTGCTGTGTGGAAGCTAAGCAAACAGCCAGGTGTGGCACGCTCTGGGAAAGACTGACCACTGTTAAGACAGGAATTCTCCCCCATGTGCTCTTTAAGGTTTTGGCATAATCCCAGTAGGTTTGGGCAGAAATTCACAAACTGGTTTGAAAGTTTTACAGAAATCCAGAGGACCTAGAACATTCATGGGGTACTGGCAGAGAAAACATTAATAAAATAGATGGAGTCCACACGTGGATTCTGCACTTAGTCATTTGATTTTGGATAAAGGCACCAGAACAATGCAACTGGGAAAAGAAAACTTTCTCCACAAGTGGTGGCAGCAAAGCTGTGTGGGGAAAATAAATTCGAGGGGTGGCAAGGGACACAAGACTTCAGCAGGAACTGGGATGGCAAGGGACACAAGACTTCAGCAGGAACCGGGGTGGCAAGGGACACAAGACTTCAGCAGGAACCGGTGCGAGGACCACTGAAGGACACGTGACTGCAGCTAACGACAACGCATACTTGAAAATTCATGCGAGTAAGGTGTTCTCATCACAAAATGACAAACGTGAGTTGAGGCTATGTTACTCAGCTCAATTTAACCATCTCACAGTGTATGCGTAATTCACGTTGTACACGATGAACACTCACAATGAATGTCAATTAAAGCAAAGTCACTCCAACTCAGTACTGTACACAAAAAGTAACTCAAATGCACTATAGACCCAACTGTAAAAACTAAAGTTACAAAGTTCTAGAAGAAAACACAAGGCTATGTAAGATGTTAAGGAAACGATATCAAACTACAGAAATACAAAGCACACCTCAACAAAAGAATGGACCCACAACGTATAGATAATCTCCAAAACTCAATGAAAAAAAAAAATCTGGGTCAGTGCTGTGGCATAGCGGGTAAGTCGCTGCCTGTGACACCAGCATCCCATGTGGGCACTGGCTGGAGACCCAGCTGCTCCACTTCTCATCCAGCTCCCTGCGAATGCGCCTGGGAAAGCAGTGGAAGATGGCCCAAGTGCTTGGGCTCCTGCATCCATGTGGGAGACCCAAGGAAGCAACAGGCTCCTGCCTTCAGCCTGGCCCAACCCTGGTCAATGAGGCCATTTGGGAAGTGAACCCGTGGATGGAAGATCTCTCTGTAACTCTCCTTTTGAATAAATAAATCATCAAAAAACAAAACCTAAACAACATATAGCACACAAACACAACTTTAGAAAGTGAGCAAAGGATTTGGATACTTCATAAAGACATGAGGGGCCGGTGCTGCGGCACAGAGGGTTAAAGCCCCAGCCTGCAGTGCTGGGATCACATATGGGCGCTGGTTCGAGTCCCGGCTGCTCCTCTTTTTTAAAAAAGATTTATTTATTTATTTGAAAGTTAGAGTTACAGAGAGAGAGGAGAGGTCTCCCATTCGATGGTTCACTCCCCAATTGGCCGCAATGGCCGGAGCTGCGCCGATCCAAAGCCAGGAGCTAGGACCAGGAACCAGGAACTTCTTCTGGGTCTCCCACGCGGATGAAGGGGCCCAAGGGCTTGGGCCATCTTGAACTACTTTCCCAGGCCATAGCGGAGAGCTGGATCAGAAGTGGAGCAGCCGGGACTAGAACCGGCACCCATATGGGATGCTGGCGCTTCAGGCCAGAGCATTAACCCACTGTGCCACAGCACCAGCCCCTGCTCCATTTCTGATCCAGCTCTCTGCTACATCCTGGGAAAGCAGTAGAAGATGGCCCAAGTCCTTGGGCCCCTGCACCCATGTGGGAAACCTGGAAGAGGCTCCTGATCAGCTCAGCTCTGGACA